TAAAATGTAAATGTTTTGTTTCCATGCCTGAGGCGTGAAGAGAATATAATGCTGTTCAATATGTTTCTAGATCTACCAACATTCTGTGTGTGAAGTAATCATTATTCTTTCTTTCCTTTTATGTTTCTTTCTTCCTTTCTTTCTTTCCTTCTGACTTCTTGTTAATTCTGTTCTAATTTCCTTCATTTAGAGGGGAAAAACAGCATTTTTTAAAAAAAGAGAGAGCAAATATAATTACTGTGATATTAAGGTAATAGATCTGAAATAGTTTAAGATTAGAAAAGCAACGCCTAACTCTGTATGATAGTGACTGGTGTTGTTTCTGAATTAATGCCGCTCAAATCTTCGTGTGAATGGCCTGTGTTGTTTCATGATTAATGCCGCCCGACTCTCTGTGTTGTTTCTGGATTATTGCCGCCCAACTCTCTGTGATAGCGGCCTGTGTTGTTTCTGGATAAATGTCGCTCACCTCTCTGTAATAGAGGCCTGTGTTGTTTCTGGATTATTGTCTCTCAACTCTCTGTAAGAGAGGCCTGTGTTGTTTCTGGATTATTGTCGCTCAACTCTCTGTAATAGCGGCCTGTGTTGTTTCTGGATTATTGTCTCTCAACTCTCTGTAATAGCGGCCTGTGTTGTTTCTGGATTATTGTCGCTCAACTCTCTGTAATAGCGGCCTGTGTTGTTTCTGGATTATTGTCGCTCAACTCTCTGTAATAGCGGCCTGTGTTGTTTCTGGATTATTGCTGCTCAACTCTCTGTGATAGCGGCCTGTGTTGTTTCTGGATAAATGTCGCTCAACTCTCTGTGATAGAGGCCTGTGTTGTTTCTGGATTATTGCAGCTCAACTCTCTGTAATAGCGGCCTGTGTTGTTTCTGGATTATTGCCGCCCGACTCTCTGTGTTGTTTCTGGATTATTGCAGCTCAACTCTCTGTGATAGCGGCCTGTGTTGTTTCTGGATAAATGTCGCTCACCTCTCTGTAATAGAGGCCTGTGTTGTTTCTGGATTATTGTCTCTCAACTCTCTGTAATAGAGGCCTGTGTTGTTTCTGGATTATTGTCGCTCAACTCTCTGTAATAGCGGCCTGTGTTGTTTCTGGATTATTGTCTCTCAACTCTCTGTAATAGCGGCCTGTGTTGTTTATGGATTATTGTCGCTCAACTCTCTGTAATAGCGGCCTGTGTTGTTTCTGGATTATTGCTGCTCAACTCTCTGTGATAGCGGCCTGTGTTGTTTCTGGATAAATGTCGCTCAACTCTCTGTGATAGAGGCCTGTGTTGTTTCTGGATTATTGCAGCTCAACTCTCTGTAATAGCGGCCTGTGTTGTTTCTGGATTATTGCCGCCCGACTCTCTGTGTTGTTTCTGGATTATTGCAGCTCAACTCTCTGTAATAGCGGCCTGTGTTGTTTCTGGATTAATGCCGCTTAACTCTCTGTGACAGTGGCCTGTGTTGTTTCTGGATTATTGCCGCCCGACTCTCTGTGTTGTTTCTGGATTATTTCCGCCCGACTCTCTGTGTTGTTTCTGGATTATTGCAGCTCAACTCTCTGTAATAGCGGCCTGTGTTGTTCTGGATTAATGCCGACGTTAACTCTCTGTGACAGTGGCCTGTGTTGTTTCTGGATTATTGCCGCCCGACTCTCTGTGTTGTTTCTGGATTATTGCCGCCCGACTCTCTGTGTTGTTTCTGGATTATTGCAGCTCAACTCTCTGTAATAACGGCCTGTGTTGTTTCTGGATTAATGCCGCTTAACTCTCTGTGACAGTGGCCTGTGTTGTTTCTGGATTATTGCCTCTCAACTGTAATAGCAGCCTGTGTTGTTTCCGGGTTATTGCCTCTCAACTGTAATAGCAGCCTGTGTTGTTTCTGGATTATTGCCTCTCAACTGTAATAGCAGCCTGTGTTGTTTCTGGATTATTGCCTCTCAACTGTAATAGCGGCCTGTGTTGTTTCTGGATTATTGCCTCTCAACTGTAATAGCGGCCTGTGTTGTTTCCGGGTTATTGCCTCTCAACTGTAATAGCGGCCTGTGTTGTTTCCGGGTTATTGCCTCTCAACTGTAATAGCGGCCTGTGTTGTTTCCGGGTTATTGCCTCTCAACTGTAATAGCGGCCTGTGTTGTTTCCGGGTTATTGCCTCTCAACTGTAATAGCGGCCTGTGTTGTTTCCGGGTATTGCCTCTCAACTGTAATAGCGGCCTGTGTTGTTTCCGGGTTATTGCCTCTCAACTGTAATAGCGGCCTGTGTTGTTTCCGGGTTATTGCCTCTCAACTGTAATAGCGGCCTGTGTTGTTTCCGGGTTATTGCCTCTCAACTGTAATAGCGGCCTGTGTTGTTTCCGGGTTATTGCCTCTCAACTGTAATAGCGGCCTGTGTTGTTTCCGGGTTATTGCCTCTCAACTGTAATAGCGGCCTGTGTTGTTTTCCGGGTTATTGCCTCTCAACTGTAATAGCGGCCTGTGTTGTTTCCGGGTTATTGCCTCTCAACTGTAATAGCGGCCTGTGTTGTTTTCCGGGTTATTGCCTCTTAACTGTAATAGCGGCCTGTGTTGTTTCCGGGTTATTGCCTCTCAACTGTAATAGCGGCCTGTGTTGTTTCCGGGTTATTGCCTCTCAACTGTAATAGCGGCCTGTGTTGTTTCCGGGTTATTGCCTCTCAACTGTAATAGCGGCCTGTGTTGTTTCCGGGTTATTGCCTCTCAACTGTAATAGAAGCCTGTGTTGTTTCCGGGTTATTGCCTCTCAACTGTAATAGCAGCCTGTGTTGTTTCCGGGTTATTGCCTCTCAACTGTAATAGCAGCCTGTGTTGTTTCCGGGTTATTGCCTCTCAACTGTAATAGCGGCCTGTGTTGTTTCTGGATTATTGCCGCTCTAATCTCTGTGATGGTAGCCTGTGTTGTTTCTAGATTATTGCCGCTCTAATCTCTGTGATGGTAGCCTGTGTTGTTTCTGGATTATTGCCGCTCTAATTTCTGTGATGGTAGCCTGTGTTGTTTCTGGATTATTGCCGCCCTAATCTCTGTGATGGTAGCCTGTGTTGTTTCTGGATTATTGCCGCTCTAATCTCTGTGATGGTAGCCTGTGTTGTTTCTGGATTATTGCCGCTCTAATCTCTGTGATGGTAGCCTGTGTTGTTTCTGGATTATTGCCGCTCAACTCTCTGTAATAGCGGCCTGTGTTGTTTTTAGATTATTGCCGCTCAACTCTCTGTAATAGCGGCCTGTGTTGTTTGTGGATTAATACCACCCGATTCTCTATGATAGCGGCATGTGTTATTTCTTTATTATTGCCGCTCAACTCTCTGTGATAGCGGCATGTGTTGTTTCTGGAGCCCTTGTCACAACTATGATCTATGTATGAGATCCATGAAACACAAACTTCTGTCAAAGGTGATACACAGGTACCGCAGTCTGCTGTCTCTTTTGATATCCCTGCCATTTATTTTGAGCCTGGGAACGTCAGCTCTAACAATGCTGTTGTCCAAAGAACACCACAGGACAGTTGCCTTTTCTGGGTTGATTACAGCACTCATCTCTGTACACCAGTCGATCACCTTATTTACTGTTGCCTATTCTGCTATTTAATCCCGATCTCTCCCCTTCCTATATATAAGAACATCATCTGCAAATTTCAATATTCTGCCAACTACAAGTGTTTCCAGGCAAGCAATCTTGCTTGTAAAAAATATTTAATAGTACAGGGAAAATTGCAGATCCCTGTGGCAGAGCTGCGGAGAGCTACCCGGCGAGTATACAAAACAGCTGCTATCCAATTCACCAACTAAGGACAAACTCCCTTTTCCATAAGCGCTTTCATCAAGATACTGTATCTGACTGTTGTAAACGTCTTCTAAATCAAGTGCCGCTGCCACCGTTTTCATTCTGTTCTGGAAACCTTCAAAGGTATCAAAGGCAACAGTGGCTGCATTTGGCCACGTGACCTTCCCCGACCGGTAATACCAGGTTGTAGCCCAATGTCGTGGTTTTCTGTATTTGTCTTGCGCTTCTCGTGAGTTTGAGTGATGGTTTTGTTCGTCTTTTTGCAGGCTTCAGCTACACCATTTATCCATCTCTTTCTTGGTCTTCCTCTTGCCAAACTCATATGTTCCAATGTTTAAACAACAACAACAAAAAAGTCTCATATGCAGTTTGGTCTGGCTGCATTCTCACTAAATCGCTAAACCATTTCATTCTTTGTCTGTTATAATCAAGACATGGTCTTATTCTAACTTTCTCTCTGATTCTGGTATTCGTTAACCTAGACAAATGTAAAACCATAAAATTTGTTCACGAAATTCTAAAAACCTCATTTTGAGAAATCCTTGTAGCATTTACCATGTAATATTTCGACAAAAGACATGAGGGGAAAGCGTCAGCTAGTTATCTGGACAGACACTCCTACACTGGACTTCGAAAGTGAAACAAAAGCGCACTTAACTCTTTTAGTCCCAAGAAACGCATCATAGGTTCATAGATTCCTACCTACAAGCCCAATGAAAGCAAGATGCGCCGATTTTACGTCTCTCTTGACTACCCCTTGGGCCTGTGATGCTAATAACCCCCTTGGACTCAAAGAGTTAACCAGTCCCATAAATGGCACATTTCAGTCTTCATCAAGTTTATTATTTGTACACTCCAAGTCACTTTCTTAAATGATCAACACGCTGCTAGAATTTAAAATATTGATGCCAAATTTCTAAAAGTACCAAAAGCCAAAACATAGGGCACTGTTCAAAATGTAAAATTTTGCTCGTCAAGGGTTAACTAAGACCGAATTTGGAAGAAAGTACCAACTTCAGCAGCTCTGGTGTTACCCAGAATGCAACGTAACTTCCTTGGTGATGGCTATGAAAATGGCGGCAGTTTGTTGTCCATGGCCACAGCAGACACTGCAGGAAAAAAGGCTATCAGTTTGTAGTTGTCATGTGTTATTATTTTGCTTTTAGTGATTTCATTAGCATCACTTTGAAATTCTGATCACACAGGGAACATTTATAATGGCTCTTGTACAGATTCCAACACATACTAGTGGAGTTTTTGGTGGTTCTGCTGGCATAAGCGAAAAGATTCGCCACCGAAACATGGCGATCCCAGTCGTTCCCAACACCATTACAGACGAAGACCTTGGATTGTGCCAGGTAATCTTTTTTGTTCCCTACTTTAAACTATACAGGAATGCACTGGCTATATTTAACATGTTCTTATCACTCTAGCGCACAGCATTTTATTCTGCTTTTTTTCCCTGAGAGAACTGCATATCCATATCATATCACAATATTATCATCATCAGGCTATCCTCCGAAATAACGGTCCCAAATTATCGAGGATAAAGAAAATACCCTCAGGGTCTCAGTCATATACAAATTGCGGATCTCTTTCCGGCGACTATACCGCATACCGTGGAAAAGTTTCCGCTAAGTTAAAGTCGCCGCCAAGAGTTTCCACCATGCCGCAACGCACAGAGGTGGGCTAAACCAGATGGCTGGCACACACGAGCAGCAGCTACCACATCTCCTGCAGCTTCCTCCATTTTATTTGCTCATGAATCCTAGCCATCTAGATAAGCCCCCCCCCCCCCCCACGTAGCGGCACGGGGATAATCTCAGCGGTGGCGGTAAAGATGCCGGAAAGAGGTTGGCAATTTACATATGACTGAAGCCCTGTTCAGGTATTTTCTTAGCTTCGATAATTTGTGACCATTATTCGGACGATACCCTCATTATCATCTTTATCATGTTATGCCATTATACGCTACATAGAGCGCGCATCCTGGTCCCCTCTTCCGTTCTATATACACTCTATTTCATGGAATCCAGTCCCACGCCTTCATTGTGCTGCCCGGTTAATCAGTGAAATTCACAGCTGTATTGCTGAGGGAAAAATTTCCTGCTGCTACTAGGGAATTTCGGGTCCTGGCGGAACCGGTTTTTCTTCAAAAATGGCCTTGGCTCCCAGGTTGACCCAGCCTTGATTGGGTGCCGATGCATCTATAAAATATATGTCTAGCCCCATATCATCTGCCCAGTATGCCTTTGCGCATTGAAAAGTGTCATTTACTTACTTACTTTACTAGGGAATTGAAAAGTGTCATTTACTTACTTACTTTACTAGGGAATTGAAAAAGTGTCATTTACTTACTTACTTTACTAGGGAATTGAAAAGTGTCATTTACTTACTCACTTTACTAGGGAATTGAAAAGTGTCATTTACTCACTTTACTTTGAAAAGTGTCTTTACTAGGGAATTGAAAAAGCAAACTGGGAATTGTAATATCATTGAAAAGTGTATTTACTTACTTATCTATTGAAAAAGTCATTTAAAATATGGTTTATAAAGTGTAGCTGAATATTACATACTAAGGGTAGCCCAGCAGATAGCACCCTTGCCTGCCAGCCCCTGTGGTCATGTGCTGAAATCCCAGCTGAGGTAAAAGTAAATGACCCTTCGTACTTTATTTTTAATTCACCCCAAACAACAGAAATTCTGGAGTTCCTGAGAAAGTCTAATATTCTATGGGTGTTTGGTTTAGGGTTAGGGTTGGGTTTAGGATCTTTGTCTGCCCCGACCACCTCACAGACACCGACTGGCGCTAAAACTTAACTGTAACAGTAACCCCTAACCCTAACTTCAACTCATAACATTCATAGAATACTTTGACTTTCCCAGGAACTCCTAGGTTTTTTGTTTTGTTTAGGGGGAATTAAAAATAAACTACCCTACCCTTTTGCTGCCAGTGGCACAAGAGGTGTGTGGTGCTAGACTTCTGTTTTTATAGACCAGTCAACAGTTGGTGCTTGATGTTATCAGCATCCCACCAGCCGCCTTTACTTTGCAGGTCATTACCTTGTACTTATTTTAGGCTAGGTTGACCTGGGAGCCAACCATATTGAGGTACGAATTTTAAAAATGTATCTGGCTTTTAGGATAACCCATCCTGAAATGTTACATAAAGTAAAGATGGTTGGTGTTATATTGACCACATCACCAATTTAAAACTGATTGGTGTCTACTTTTGTTTTTAAAGTTGCCCCCCGCCCCCCAACACCCCTCCCTCCCAACACCTCCGCCCCCCCCCCCCCCCCCGCCCCCCCCAACACCCCTCCCTCCCTTGATCTGCAGTCTGTAGGAATAACATCTCAAGAATGAGAATGAACTATCTACACATCCTGGAAACCCAGTTCAATCATTGAGCCGTATAGCACAGATAGAATGGGGGCACCACCAATGTGAGTAGGTTGCCTCAATGATGTTGGTGTATGCAGAACAGGGGCTTCAGCAGGACTGTTTTTTCCTCCTACACAGAAAGTTGCTGGTACTCACCATCTCTTTAAAATGTCACTACAAAGTATCTTTTAGCTTTACCTAATAAATGATGCCTTAAAGAGGTACAGATGCTGCATACCCAGGAGCTTTAGCAGTATAATGGCTATCACACTGCTGACTTTACTGTCATGGGTTTGAGGTTATCAGTCATGTTTCCAACTTGATTGCTTAAGGTTCATCTTAACATTTCTCTGTTCCTTTGACAATAAAAACTGACATACAATGCCTATGACTGTCCTTTGTGGGATGTAGGAGACAGCCGTTCCACTAAAATTTGACCTTGCACATGTATTAAATGCATAAAGCTGCAGCCGAAACCAGCAGTCCATCACCAGAATTGTAGTTCTTCGTTAATGGAAGCAGTATTCACAGCAAACCAGCAGGTGTACATGCATTGCTACATAAGGCATACTATCAGTTCTGTGGCAACAAATCAGTAACCTTTTTCTGAATAGCTAATTCACAGATCACAGATGACAAGCTCACAGTGACACACCATGCACTCAACTCAGTAGCTGACCAACAAAACCAGATTTTACCTTTGCTTCATTCAACTAAATACACTTCGGGACGTATTCACAGGTTTTTTACTTGTTATGTCACATACTGCTCATAAGGAGTGTCATTATGAAACAGGGTAAAGTTAGGCATCTTTTACCCGGATTGAACTTAATGGCTCATCTATTTGTATCCAGGTCTCCAAGCTGCAGCCAGTCAATTTGAAGAAAGTGATCAAGCTGTTGGAAGATCACCATTCTGTAAGTACAACATGATATCTAGTGTTTGATGCTAGAACATTCCTGGGTGTCACACATTATTTTTCTGGTTATTTCTTTTTTGACAACATTATTGTCTTCCTTCTTGTGCTGAACACCAAAAAAGACTATAGTTATTCATTTGTCATCATTGCACAGAACCGAACTTCCTGTTTAGCTCCTGTGGCGGAGCTGCAGTAGCCTAGTGGTAAGATGCTTGTTTGTGGGCCAGAAGGTCTATGGCTCAACTCCATTTTAGAGCAAATTTGTATAAATGGCTCCATGGTCACTGCAGCCTAAAATGAATACAAATAATTTTGTCATTGCTATAGCTAAGGTATGCCTAAGCTGTTTGAGACATGCAGACATGTAAGATGCAGACATCAGTGAAGGGAGCTCACTGTTGTGTATAATTCTGTAAACTTAATAATGAAGGGGGAATACTGTGGTAGCACAGGTCATCCAGCAAAGATAGATGCCTCTGTAGCTATGATATCCTTTTAAGTTTTTTGAGACATGCGAAGGAAGTCATTTACCTCTGTTAGATGCAGACATGCGAGAAGGGAGCTCACTGTTGTTACTTATAAACGAAGGGGAACAATGTTGTAGTGCAGGTCAACCGAGCTAAGATGGCTACCAGGAAATGCTCAGGGAGGTAAAGATTAACCATATAATCTGCTGGCTACTTTTCCTTAGTAATAAACAAGGCAGGTTGAGAGAATGTCCTGCTGCATGGGCAACACATCTTCTGTGCAGTACTGGCCAAGCTTTCTGCTTTGATGAGGAGGGACTTTATCCTTTGCCTTGACTGCTGCGATTCCCATGCCTCTCTATAACATTATAATGCCATTGTCAATGCTTTATATACATAATTTTTAATGTTGACTGGTCCCCTTCTCTTTAATGCTGTCTCCTCTCTGGCTTTGGTCTCTTCTGCAATACTTCTATCTCTACCTACCATGTACAAATATATAAAATTTGTTTTATTACCCAATGCATACCAACAGTTATTCGAACACAAAGCACCACTCTGTAAAGAATACTAAAACACACACACTGACAAAAAGTAACATGTAAAGTATATGTATAATGCAGAAACCACGCAGAAATGCATACAGACTCATTTTAAACACTCAGTAAACTTATTTACACTTTAAAAAAAAAATAATGGAATGATGGAAAATTGACAGTGAACACCGACTGCTGATTAATCTATACATTTAGAGCTAGCACCATGTATTCAATATTCATGAAGCCATCAGTCAGCACAAGAAATAGATGTATTCCGGAGTGTCAACATCTTCGGGTGCATATACCCTGAGCCATGGTTGGGCTGTGGTCTGAACACAACAGCGTCCCCATCTGATTCCCCACTATTACTACTAACACTAGATCCTGCATCAATATCAATAGAATTAGTGTCATCACTTGATTCAAATGTTTTATCAATATCAAGTTTAGGGGCAGAAACATACGAGTCAGACATACTTTTAGCGTTTCAGGTAACTATCTAAAAAATTCAACAACAATTTTCACTTCGATACCAAACACTCGAAAAGTCGCCATGTGTAAAGCTAATACAGCAGTGAATATAAAAGAATCACTTTCAGTGTTTCAAAATAGGAGATTTCTTAGCGTGTCGAGGCGAAACACGATCGGGCCGATGATCTGCCGTTCCGTGTTTTTGGCCAGACATCCGCCGGCCGATAATCGGCCCGTCCGTGCTAAGAGGGTTAAATAAACCTGTGATTTTTGTCCTCCACACTTTCAAATATGTCTATTTAATTAATTATTGTCACTAACATTTATGCACTGAATTATTTTTCAGAAAACACTGTATGATAGACATATCCACGCCTTGAAAAAAGTGGCTCAGCATTTCAATTATGGCTTTGTATCCTTTAAAAAAAAATCCAACTTTTTATAATGTCGCCGTAAAGGTTTGCTTTAATTTAATGCATAGGTCAGGATAAGACCTGACAACCCCTCTTATTTTACAGTCTCCCATAGATCCCAAACTTTTTGGTAGCCATGCTGAAGAACTTGTTTTAATTTAATATTATAATCGCAAAAACAAGAACACAACAACAAAAACAAAAGAGAAAAAGGATTGTATTCTAGAGCTGAGGATTTGTTTTGTATATGATATGACGTATCTCTTAAATTAGACCTTGAGGTTCCTTCGAAGTCGGAGTGCATCTGCCTTAGAGGCAAGGAACCAGCAGTCTACATTCAAATGAGTCAGATCTGTGAAACGGATGCACACGCAACACTCTGGTTCTGGAACAGGACTGCAGTACAGAAGTGGACAAACAACCAGAACTTTCCGCTAGAGTTTACAGCTGGTGACCGTGTAGAAGAAGAAGACCCGCAGGCTTCTACAGATCATCAAAGGGTGAAGACTGGCTGATATCATTAGTTATATCTGGATCTCGACTGGCTCATAAGGCAGCGGGGTTGATATGACTGCCCTGGCACTGCTCAGAATCAGTGTTATTAAAGCCATCTGCAGCACTTACCCCAAACAAGAATACGACAAAGGGCATGTCTCTGTGTTTTCCTGTCCAGGCTGATGGACATGAGGATGCAACCTAGAGCTGCAAGAAATGAAGATTTTAAAGGAACTGCACGTTTAATTGATCAACGTAGAACAGGCATCATCAGTTATTTTATGCTTATGGAGCTTTTGAGGAGATTGGAGCACCCATGGATCTGTCCAGATTGTTGGGATGATATTGCTCACCAATCACTAATGGGGCGTATTGGGTACAGTATAGCAGCCCCACATTGTATAGACCAATCAGAACATGAAGGGTAGTGTGGTCAAGGTCACATTCACCACTTTTACTTCTCAGGTACTTTTTTTTAGGATGAGTTGACATTTCAGTAAAGATTCTTCCCAGGATGGGTTCTGGCCTCAATTTTGGTGGATAAAAGAATAGAACCACAGCCCCCCGAATAGGCATGTCATAAAAGTCTACTAATCAGGGATGTTTCCTAAAAAGTCAGAGTGCAGCTGCCTGACAGATGAGGAAACAAAAGTCTGCATACAAATAAACCAGATCTGTAAAAACAGATGTGTACACAAAACACAAGTTCTAAAACAACACCAGAATTCAACGAAAATCAGAACCTTCTGCCGGCATTTACAGCCAGTGAACACAAAGAGGTAGATAGGACATGGAAGATAAGGACCTTTTTTATAGATAGAACATGGAAGATAAGGACCTTTTTTATAGATAGAACATAGAAGATAAGGACCTTTTTTATAGATAGGACATAGAAGATAAGGACCTTTTTTATAGATAGGACATGGAAGAGAAGGACCTTTTTTATAGATAGAACATGGAAGAGAAGGACCTTTTTTATAGATAGAACATGGAAGAGAAGGACCTTTTTTATAGATAGGACATGGAAGAGAAGGACCTTTTTTATAGATAGGACATGGAAGAGAAGGACCTTTTTTATAGATAGGACATGAAAGAGAATGACCTTCTTTGCACCAGTAGGTCATCAAGTATTTGATGTTAGATTGACATGTTGTATACACTAATCAGCTCTTCATGGGTGATGTGATCAGCATCGTGCCATCTGCTTTTACTTCCCGGAACATTGCCTGATACCCATTTTAGGGTGGGTCAAATGAGAGCCAAGGTCAGTTTTGGCTAAAACCAACCTCAGTGAATTCTAGAATTTGTAATTAAAGCCTAGATGTTGTTGAAAATATTTATTATTGCCTATGAAGGATGTGTGAATGAATAACTGAATGGAAAGAGTCAGATTGGAAGCACAGAATGTTACACAGGCCTGCATGCCCAGTTTTTAAACCTTTCAAAATAAAATGTGTTCATTTGTTTGTTTGTTCATTTGTTCTAACTCGTGATCTTCAGGTCGGCGGGAAAACATCTAGCCACTTAGCTACCACGGCTCCAATTATTTCTTCTTGTTGTTTTTGTGTGTGGTTTTTTTTTACAGGCTTGCTGTAAAATAGCATCAACAGTTTACTTTCTTTAATAAAATCCAGCCAATGAAGGACCTTGTGCAGATCTTCAAAATCTTGAATATCTGTGCAGACCGTTTTGAGTTTAATTCAGTTTACGAGCAGCCGATTTTGGATCTGTTGAAGATATGTGGTCGTTCATTTCTGATGGAAAAGGCATCAGATGAATTGGTTTATAAGCAGCTTGTTGTGGAGTCAGTCTCTCAGCTTGGTAAAGTATTTTTTTTTTTTTTACTTTAGTAAATTTAGTTAATTCATAATGTTATTTTGTCTTTAGTACATTTAGTTGATTTGTATTGTTATTTTGTCTTTAGTACATTTAGTTAATTTTTATTGTTATTTTGTCTTTAGTACGTTTAGTTAATTTGTATTATTATTTTGTCTTGAGTACGTTTAGTTAATTTGTAATGTTATTTTGTCTTGAGTATGTTTAGTTAATTTGTAATGTTATTTTGTCTTTAGTACGTTTAGTTAATTTGTAATGTTATTTTGTCTTTAGTACGTTTAGTTAATTTGTATCGTTATTTTGTCCTTAGTACATTTAGTTAATTTGTATTGTTATTTTGTCTTGAGTATGTTTAGCTAATTTGTAATTATTTTGTCTTGAGTACATTTAGTTAATTTGTAATGTTATTTTGTCTTTAGTACGTTTAGTTAATTTGTATCGTTATTTTGTCTTTAGTACCTTTAGTTAATTTGTATTGTTATTTTGTCTTGAGTATGTTTAGCTAATTTGTAATTATTTTGTCTTGAATACATTTAGTTCATTTGTAATGTTAAAATCATTATTATGCTTCCAGGTGAACATTTGTAATAATTGCAGTATTTTTAATCCTGACAGTCACTAGTTTCAGCTGCTTTAATTTTGCCAGTCAACCTCCTCTTGCCTATTAGCACATTGGTCATGTGCTCAAATTCTCATCAAGGCAGAAATATGTATATATATATATATATTTGTTTTACTGCCAGGGTAGCTGAGCCTAACATGGATGCTAAGACAAATTCTTGCATGTAAAGATGACTGGTGCAAGACTGACCACATGACACAATGGTCTTCTTCTTCTCCATTCGCTCTATTGAAACAGCAGGTGGCACATTGTGTTATGGATTAAAGCCAGGCTGTGATATCCACAAATTTATAGAAAGATAAATAAAGGGAGACAATGAAAGAAGATTGTTGACAGCATTTGATCATGTTAGTGTCGCCAAATCTTCAGAAGCATGATTACACACAGTAGCTAGCAAGGCACCTGATGATGATAGAGAAAAATCAAAGACAGACGTTCGAGAAGGAAACACTGGTTTGAATAAGGATGCAATGATAAAAGATAGGAAAGTTCGAGACTGTCAAATTATAGTGATATACAAAATAAGAAGATCAGTTACTGTCAATGTGGAGACACAGTTTACCTCATATGATTAACCTGACTTGACATAGAGTTGTAATGTCAACAGTTTACCTCATATGATTAACCTGACTTAACATAGAGTTGTAATGTCAACAGTTTACCTCATATGATTAACCTGACTTAACATAGAGTTGTAATGTCAACAGTTTACCTCATATGATTAACCTGACTTGACATAGAGTTGTAATGTCAACAGTTTACCTCATATGATTAACCTGACTTGACATAGAGTTGTAATGTCAACAGTTTACCTCATATGATTAACCTGACTTGACATTAAATTGTAATGTCAACAGTTTTTCAGCTTTAATCCTTTTAGTCCCAGGTATCGTAGCACATGCCCATGCGGGAGAAATAACTGCCTCAAAAAATGTGTGCTGTAATATAAATGTAAAATGTACTGCTTTACTTTCAACGAGGCAAAATACATCTTTGAATATTGCCACTTGGAAAGCACAATTTTTTTTCAAACCTTTGTAAAATGTAAAGAGGATCAGAACGCAGAAAGCAATGTTTGGGATAAAAGGGAAAGAGGTAGCGACATTTTATGCGGAACTGGAAGAAATTAAACAAATGATGCTAGCCTGACTACATGACCTGGGAGTAAAGCACATCTATATCAACTTTGAGGTCAAGATAGGAAACATCATAACCAGCTTTGCTTAAGGGCAAAGAGTAGAAATATCTTGGTATGGCTGCTTCGTCAGAGCACTGAGCATGCATGGTTGTGTTAAAGTAATATGTAACGTAAAATTCAATATTTGTGATTGTGTTACTGTTTCAGGTTATTTAATGAGGATTCCGAGTTCTGATGTGAGGATTCAGATCTGTAACACACTGATTGCTTTCACTACAGAGGACCATCCGCAAGAACTGCCAGGCAAGTCTTTTGTCTAGGTTTTTATTCGTAGTTCTCTTTTTGTCTGCTGGCATGCTTGATGGCCCATTTCAGTGATAGAGGTCGAAGGCAGCTGAACTGGTTTGGTTTCAAGCACATCACTTTTCTCTATGTCTCTAACTTTGTGTTATGGAAAGATGTAAAACCGAACGAAAAGTTATCAGCGAGCTTCACAATATAACAAACACAAACAAAATGTGAACGTTGTGGCTATGGAGCCTTCTTCAGCACACACATACATTTAGGCAATACTACACAAATTCACAATATCACTTATCTTCATATCTCGTGGCAGCCAGGTCGATTTTAAGACAGTTGTCTGGTGAGGCACGTGGGGCCGGGAAAATTAATATCTGGGGATTCGCCAGGGGCCGTCACTCGAGAGTAAGAGGAAACTGTGTAGGCAGTTCAGCCCCCTGATGTTAAGCATCTTCTTGCTTTTACCTTTGCTCCTCTTCTTCTGCAATCTCTGGTCATGTGTTTGATCCACTGTGGACCACTCACTAGAATGTCCTCTTAGATTCCTCTAAAGCTTAGTTGTCATGCCCACTTGGTAAGGCCACATGTTGTTTTGCAGCTCCTCCAAGAGAGAGCAGTCTTGTCCATCATGGAGATACTGGCAAAAAGTGGTCTGGCTCATACCTTATTTATATGAGTTGTAGCAGAGTCATTACCCATACCGCCTTTTAGTGTTGTGCTGTCTGCACGACAAGACCCTTCATGGCCTTCACCCTTGTTTTTGGAACTTTTCCACTGAGCTTAGTGAGCGACTATAACTACCTAGGCCCCTGTCCTTGCTTCCCACGATATTTCCAGTCGTCTGTCTAGACATCACGTGACTCTCCCCGTCCAGCACAAAACAATAAGTTGTTTTTCACATTGTTGGAATACTTCCACTGACTCGGCTAGCTAAAGTCGCTGCAGACTCTGCAAAACAATGTGACTGGGAGGTCCCGGGAACAGGCTAGTAGCACCTTTATAAGCGACTGCCCGGAACCCATAGGAGGAACAAGCACCGGCCAGCTGAACAGGGAAGGAAGTCAGGCTTGAGGGCAGGTTGATTAGAAAGTATAGATAAGAAGATAGAAAAAGTTATTCCCGTTAATTGGACCAGTTCAAGATGTTACGATTGTTTTTACACATGAAAACGGACTAGCACGTGTATACAACTTCACAGTAAGGCAATTTGACATTTATTTTAACCCACCACGGGCCCAGCGGGATTCGGGAGTCGATACTGACTCTGGGTCAGAAGAAGGAGAAGAAGAAGAAGAAGCAGGAGCACAATAGACTAAAACTACACATAGGCCGGACTTCCTGGAGATCCCCTGTTGTATTTTACAAGAAGAAAGATGAAAACTTTTTAGACCAACCTGCACTAGGAGCCCGGTGGCAGTTATAGACACTAGAACCAGTTAACACAACGCGAACCTAAGAGTAGGTAACCATAGGGAGAACACAGCGCTATTCAAAATATTTTTGATATTGTTTGTGTCATTTTTGAAGTGTCACAATAAAGACAGTGTAGACAAGACCAGTTGTTTTCAGACACATTATTATACAATCATCTGAGTAACATGAGAAGCATGCGATTAGCAAGACACTATCCCCATTATCGACACGAACATCCCTATTCTTATCTTCACTTTTATCATCATCGGCTACCCTTGTGGCAAATATAAAAGAACCTGGGTTGCATTCCAATATAGGCAGTAAAGGAGGCAGCTGTGCCACAGAGTGTTTGTTGACTGTGCAGCCTAAAAAATGGCTTTGCCTACCTTTGGTTGATACATAGTATACAGATCTTGCTATTCTAGTGGCAACTTTCATTTTCTTTGTTCCTGTAACATATTTATGGGTGACCGTTGTATTGGATTCTCTAATGACAAAATGAACATTTGTGTACACAACTTTTAGAGACTGAAAGAGCTAAAAATGTGTATCTAAGCCTTTGTTACTGTTAAATCTTTCTGTCCCAGATTGTAACTGTTTATCTTTCTATCCCAGGCTGTTACTGTTAAATGTTTCTATCCCAGGCTGTTACTGTTAAATCTTTCTATCTGAGGAGGTTGTTACTGTTGAAGCTTTCTATGCCAGTAAGCTATCTTTGGTCTTTGTCGTCGCTCCGTGCTTTGCTGTAAAAAGAAAAAGGTCATGTTCAAAGGGGGAGCTTAGGGTATAATTGTGACTAGGTTATGTGCATCATATAAAATGGCTTAGCATTGCATGCTACCAAGAACCCTGAAAAGGACTCCCTCAGTGTTGATGCTACCAGAGGAGACAGACCCAAATACTGTCCCATGGGGCGACAAAGTCGTCTACTGCCGAGCCAGTGGGCGACCCGGGCGCTGGTGATTTTCAGTCTTTTTCAACCTTTCAACTTCTATTGAAGCATTGGGGTCAACAAACACAAGGCCCTTTGAAGAATTGTTTATTTATTGGTTTAATTTTGCAGCTGGCTCTGTTTGTATTTGAACCCATGACTTTCAGATCCACAGGTGAGAATCTATAAAACCTTTGCTGTAAAATCCAGTCTACAAATGACTAAACAAAAGTTGGTTTTTTAACCCTTTCACATAGATATTTCTCAACCTTTTCTGCCTGTCTTGTCTAGTACTTTCCCACATAATGATATTTTCTGCCTGTCTTGTCTAGTACTTTCCCACATAATGCTATTTTCTGCCTGTCTTGTCTAGTACTTTCCCACATAATGATATTTTCTGCCTGTCTTGTCTAGTACTTTCCCACATAATGATATTTTCTGCCTGTCTTGTCTAGTACTTTCCCACATAATGCTATTTTCTCTATTACACCTCTTCAGCTGATATGACCCATAAATTACATTTTCCAGCAGCATCAAAAATAAACAGTTCTTTATTTGTTTCAGAATGAGAAAAATGACAAAGGGTTTAGAAACTAATTTATGACAAATGTAATTTTTAACTTAGATTTCAGACCTGCCAGTTTGGAATTCAATAATAACATGGTAGAGCTGAGTGACATCTCAGAAACTTTAATGAAGGTAAGCAGTTACTGTCAGTTAATCCAGACCAAACCTAGCTACAGTTTAGTTTTTAAAGTTTTTATTGTTATCAGGTAATAATCTTTGTTCACATACATTTATCTGTTTTTTCTTTATGTAAGAAGTTTTAATTTGAAACTGCTGTGTATGTGCACTGCGCTTAATTAGGTGCATTGAACATGAACATGTCATAGTCATGTGATAAGTACTGACCAGTGAGTGAATAACAGAGAATAATGATTTCTGATGAAAATATGATCCAAATATCAAAGAATGATTCACACAGTTTATATCTTAATCACATCCACCCCCCCCCCCCCCCCCCCCCCCACTTTTTCCCCCTATGAAGCTTTTACCAGATTATCAAAAAAAAAAAAGTGTAAACTAGGCAATATTTGAAACAATAATACAAATTATATAATTTTCGTAAGTGAATAAATACACAATATGTAAAATAACAAGTATATACTATAAGAACTCAGTCATGCAACACTTTCTATCCCAATTATAAATCTGAGAGCTGAACAGGGTATTTTTGTGAAAATGACTACTACTACAAGGTAACTGTATCATGATAACAACTAACAGTAATGTGAAAGATATAGTTCAGGTATTACATTAATTCTATTGTTACTTCTGCAGCTGTATTTTTTTTTTCAGTCCTTAACTTTATTAGAAAATGATCTGCCAGCTAAACTGAAAGTACTTGAAGTCCTTCAGTTGCTCTCCAAAAATTCTGGTAAGAGAGATTTAGTTTTAATTTATATGTTGTATCGCATCTTTGGGAACCCCTGGGATGTAGCAGCCAGGCGCTCGCTTGTGGATCTTAATATTGTGGGTCTCAAATCAGCATGGTTCCAGATTTTTTTCAAACCTTGGCTCTCAGGTCAACCCAGCCTTAACTTTTTGAGTCCCAAGGAACGCATCATACGTTCATAGGTCCCGCCTACAGACCCAATGAACGCAAGATGCACCGATTTTACATCTCTCTTGACCACCCCTTGGGCCTCTGATGACAAACCCCCTGGGACTCAGAGAGTTAAATCGGTATCAGGTACAGTCCTGGGAAGTAAAGGTGACCTGCGTGGTATTTACCACGTGATCCATTGAGTCTAGCTTCTTATGCCTGATACACCACTAACGTGTAAGGAGACTTTTTTTTAAAGTATCTTTATTATTGTTTATTTGACATTCGTTTTGATTCTCCTGTCGTATCTCATGTCCAGTGTTTGGTACTTATAGAAATTCTCTGCTAATAATATCTGATATTCATTTTTAGTAGAAAAAAAAAACTTTTTCAGCTTTAATCTCTCATAACCATGTTTAATGGTGGTACATTTTCCATCTTTCTCACAATGTTTTTTTTTTGTGTGTTTAGTATACTTTTTAGCATACTTTTGTTCTCTCTCATATCTCATGCCCATGCTTTGTGGTGGTAGATATCCCCTCTCTCAAATCGAATAATCATATAACATTAGGGCTGTACCGAATAGTGATTTTCACTATTCGGCCGAATACGAATAGTGGGACCAACTATTCGGCCGAATACGAATACGAATAGTGTAAAGTGTATAAAATATATCTTTAAAAAAAACACATTAATAATGTCAAATGTACTCTGAACTTTTACTTCACATAAAGTAGCACAGAATAGACATCTTCTTTAGCATTCTGAGCCCTTGAGGTTTACTGCTGCAGATATCACTCGTCTCTATTCATCTCTCTGGCTGGCCTTCTCTTCACAATTTGTGACACCAGTTGTTTACAGGTCTGGCTGGACATTATCTCACAAACTTGTTTTTTGTCTGTCTCGTGGTCTACGCCCATTCTTCTCTCAGGTGTATACAGTTTTTACTTCTCTGTCATCTGACATTCTTTCAATGTGCCCCAACCATTTTAGTCTGAGTTCTCATGATGTCAGTGATCAATGGTGATTTAAACAGATTATGTGTTAGGTTGTTGTTTCCTACTCTCCAATCCCCGCTGTTTGCATCTTTGACTTTGATGGGTCCAAAGATTTGTTGTAAGACTGTTTTCGAAAACCTGAAATAAGGCCTCATCTCTTTTATTTCTGCTTCAAGTTTCACAGCCATATAAAACGACTGGTCTTTTCAACGTTTTATATTTTTTTATCTTGGTGTTGCAGACAGACACTTTGACTTTAGTAGATGTTGAAGGACATAGTACACTTTATTGTACACTTTATACACTAGACTGTATTCTAGATTGTATTTCTTCTCTCAGCATGTTGGAACAGTTGAAGTTCGTCGCCAAGTATTTATATGTTTCCGTTCATTTGATTTTCATATTATCAACTTGTATGTGGCCGAAGTTTATATTCTTTCCATGTCTAGTTAGTATTCATACAGAATAGTAAACATTTAAAAACATTTTATGTTCTGCATCCTTCAGTCAGTCTGTGGTAACTAATAACTAGGATTGAAAGAATCCTAAGTATTATAACAAGTAACTAAACTTGGAAATTGTCACTGACAGCTTAGTTAATGCAGGAAAACTGCATTAGCTTTCAACAAAACCAATCGTTCCATGTTGTCAGTATTAAGGCCGTGTATGCAGAAGCGGATGTAAGGTAACTACTATTCGTATTCGGTCCGACCGCAACTATTCGGCCGAATACCGAATAGTCAATAGGTCCACTATTCGGCCCCGAAGCGAATACGAAGCGAATATTCGGTACAGCCCTATATAACATAGTCACATTTTTCTCCTTTCTCACATTTCCTGTCAGGTTCATGCTTCGTAATTGGACTCCAAAATTGAAAACCTATTTGTTTCACCCTTTGACAACTGATACTTCACAACAGTGTTGGACACACTTTTCAAATGATATAATTACCCACCTGAACCTAACCCCATCATCTGAGCACTATGCATGTTCAATAATGAATCAGTCATCATCATCATCATCATCAGTAAAGGCAAGGCCCATTAAGATGAATATTTAATACAATTATTATTATTACTATCAGTACGAAAGCTGTATGACACACTGGGAGATTTGGACTGCACTATAGCTTTCATCAAGGTGACTGGTCACCTGGTATAAAATTTTCTGACAGAAGGATTGAAGAAGAAGACTCTCAGTACAGACACAGTCTTTTTGTGTGTGTTGTCATAAAATATACTAGAATATGAATAATAAACAAAAGTTATTTATTGTATCTTAGTTGCCTGGAACAGCTCTCTTAATGATATCCCTCCATACTATTGTTTCAGTCCATCGGGCATTATCTCTCTTGGTCTGCCTCTGCCCCTCTTTCCACTGATCTTTCCAGTTGTCACGATGTTCTCCAATGTCTCTCTTCTCATTATGGGGCCAAAGAACAGTGTTTGTCTCCTTCTTATTGTTGTATACAGAGATCTACTTTCATTGGCTTCTTTCAAACAATCGTTGTTAGTTACTCTGGCTATCCAAAAGTAATAGTAACATTCGTCTCAGAAAGCACATCTCTGCTGCTTCTAAATTCTTAATTTGTTCACTGACATTCCAAGATTCACTGTCATAAAGCAGAACTGGTTCTATGTAACATTTTAGCACTCTTTTTTTTTTTTTTTATCCTGCATAACATGATACATTTTTAATTATTTGTTCCACTACAATCTGGTTAGCTAAAAACTGTGACCAGATGCTATCAGCTGATGGTGGAAGTCGGGTTTGCTCTGGTTTGGTGGATCCAGACTCCAGTGGCCAGTTGCTGTTTCGGTCCAGTGACATTCTATGGAATTTAATGGAGCATGGTGACCCGGCGCTTCTCTGCAAGCAGCTGAACAGCATCTCTTGTATCAGGTGAGTATGAAAAGAACCGAACTGGCCAGGCACAAATTGTGTTTTTTTAAATGAAGAACAACTTATGCAATAAATTCAACCATGCCTTTTTAGAGCCAGTGTTAATTTGTGGTTGGAAACAATTAATCAACAAGGCAAACAATTGTTTAAGCCTCAGAGATCTAGACTAAAATTAAGAAGTGGACAAATAACCAGAACTTTCCACTGAAGTTTACAGGCGTTGAAAGCCTAGAAGCACATTTGGGCATGACTAAAGTGCTGTGATATTGCTGATGACTGATAAATTCTGGAGAGCCTGGATACTTACGCAAATAATTATAAATTTTCAGTTAATTCTTTTTTTTTTTTCAACTTCGCCTTATTATGGGACACAATTTGTTTGGGTTATTTTAAAGCCCCACCCCGGCTGTACTAATATAACCTAATGGTTGAAGAAGGTTTCTGGGACTAGTACTTGCGTGAATTCTCATCCGAATAGTGACACTTTGTCCCTCATAGTTCGGTCCTGGCGGGTTTGAACTTCACTCACTCACTTTTACTGAAACGGTTTCTTGTCCCTTAATTCTTTTACCGAAACAGTTTCTTGTTAGCTTTTACAGTCATAGAATTTCTGAACAAGTAAATACTTACAGGCACTTTTTCCTGCCTTATGATGTATTCTGGATTTAGTAACAGCCCCCTATTTTTAGGAATCAATCAACAGTCAATGGGTAGAGTGGCTGATATCATGTCAGCTCAGGTCAGTTTAAAAATAATCTGCTCTTTAATGGGGATTTAAATGCATGACCACCAACTTGACAGGCAAGCCACAGCGTTTATCATGGCTTCCTGCAGTATTGACTTCTAGACACTGGTGGTAGGCAGGTTTACTGTTTTTAGTCACAAGTCTATATGTAGACTGAAGAGATATCATCTACTAAGTTGAGTGCATGGCGCATCACTGTGAGCTGCAGATTTAAGTTGGAATGCTTTTTGACTGTGCCCATCATAGTTTGTATTGTGAACTGCGGATCAAGAAAATGGAACGTGGCATGGGTGCTGCTTCTGTCCACAATGAACTGCATTTCTAGTGCTGGAATGTTTGTGTTGCCACTTCTGACAGCTGCCTTATACATTAAATAAATTTATGGGCTATTGGCTTTGTGGAGACTGCAGTCTGTGCCATTGTCTTCACAGTGGACAGCGATAAGCATTCTGTGTGCTTCTTGTTGGCCCAGAAACAGAACAACTATGGGGTGACCTGTTTGCTATGAAGTTGAAACTACTGCAGTTACCTGCGGTACCCTAGTCATAGGTTTATTACATCTTCCATTATCTGATCACCTTGCACCTACAATCGTTTCTGCTTTCAGCAAACTGCGGGATGCTTTTGTCTACCAGCTGACCCAGGGCTACAGTCACTATGACCGGCAGTTGAGAAATGATCTGCTTGTTCTGGCCACACTTGTGGCTTTCCACTGCCCAGATGCTCCGTTTGTAGAAACTGGTTTTGCCAAGCAGCTGACTGTGTTTGCCACATTCCAAGAAGGTAAGAAGATTTTTTTTTTGTTCTTTTAAGACAGTAACTCATATATTTTACATCCATTGTTGTTCTACCTTCTACATCTTGCAGTTATTGTTTGACCTTCTAAATCTTGCAATTTTGTTCTACCTTCTACATCTTGCAGTTATTGTTCTACCTTCTAAATCTTGCAATTATTGTTTTACCTTCTACATCTTGCAATTATTGTTTTACCTTCTACATCTTGCAATTATTGTTCTACCTTCTGCATCGTGCAATTATTGTTTTACCTTCTACATCTTGCAATTATTGTTTTACCTTCTACATCTTGCAATTATTGTTTTACCTTCTACATCTTGCAATTATTGTTTTACCTTATACATCTTGCAATTATTGTTTGACCTTCTAAATCTTGCAATTATTGTTCTACCTTCTGCATCGTGCAATTATTGTTTTACCTTCTACATCTTGCAATTATTGTTCTACCTTCTACATCTTGCAATTTTTGTTCTACCTTCTACATCTTGCAATTATTGTTCTGCCTTCTACATCTTGCAATTATTGTTCTACCTTCTACGTCTTGCAATTATTGTTCTACCTTCTGCATCTTGCAATTATTGTTTTACCTTCTACATCTTGCAATTATTGTTCTACCTTCTACGTCTTGCAATTATTGTTCTACCTTTTACATCTTGCAGTTATTGTTCTACCTTCAAATTCTTGCAATTTCTTGTATTAAAACAATAAACCTTCACATTTATCATCATCATCAATGTCATCATTATCTTGTGCTGTCACACAGGGCTCACAGTCTAGTCCTCTATTCCATCAGTTGTCGATCAGTTTGTCCCCTCTGGGCTGCTACCAAAAGGTTAACCATACCATCCTGAAATCAGTCTGGATAGCAAACCAGCAAGGCAGATTCCATATAACATGTTCAGCCTCCAGAGAAGTTATAAGTAGGGCACACATAACAGCCATACCAGCCAGCCGTAACCTGCAGGCCTGTACGGGTGAGGATTACCCTCCAATCAATCCTGTGCAATCTTTTTTATATCTTGGAAGGAATCCAGTCCAGAATCTTTGGCCTTTCTCTACAGCATTCATCTTACACATTTCACGTTTGCTAATTTTGTTGTAAACATTTATCAAGACTACCACCTGTCATTTCAACAATAAATTAATGTTTACAATTTATTTCAGTGAAATCACACAATGCATTAGTTCGCCACTTAAAACTGTTGACCAACCGAGAGGACTTTGAATTCAAGAAACTTCTTTTTAACATTTTGGTTGTCCTTAGCAATAACAGCACAGCAATTTCTGTAAGTATTTGTCATTCTAGGAATTTATTTTAAAAAAATTCTTTTTAATTGCTAGACCAAGAGGGAAAGATTTTAGAATTCATTTTTCATGGATCATGGATCATGATTTATTATTTAGGATTGAGAGTTGGCAGCCCTGTGGACAGTGTTGTACCAAAGTAATTTTGTAGAGTCAGTTGTGCCAAAATGGCTCCACCATGTTTTTATATGCAACAGTTATTGAAACAAAATAATTTGATTTTGAAAAGAATTATTGGCTTCTATTTAATTTTGAAATGACATCTGATACTGAGCAAGTGCTACCCATCAAGCAGTGAATCATAACATGTTCCTCCCCTCCACACTGAATAGCAAAAGTAAAGATTGATGACAGTGATGATTATCGTATACTGTACTTCAGTTCACTCAGCATGCCGTTACAAATTGTTCCAGTGCCACTGTTGGTTTACAAGCCCTAGGTTATTAATGACAGCTCTAGCTTTTATTTGTCTGAGTGTATTAAGTTTCAGTAGGTAATGAAAAATTGTGAAATGTTATTTTATTATATTTTTATGAATTTATGCCCCAACAGAGATTTATTCTTCTTCCACTTCTGGACTTTGGTTTGTTCCAGAACTGAAGTTTTTCATGCACATCCATACTGCACATCGTGTTATTTGTTTGCAGACTGTTGGTTACTGGCCACTCAGGTAGATGCACTCTGACTTCGATAGAATCACCCCTTATTAGCCACCTCTTTTGACATGCATATTAGGGGGGCGGTGGGTCTGTTTGTTTTCCCCTCAAAATGGGGTCCCTGAAACCCACACGGGTGTGTAAAATAAAATGGTAAAATATTGTTTTATAATATTTTCATGAATATAATCTCCAACAGAGGTTTCATATTATATATTTGATTACCTGACAGTAGATGGAAGTCCATCAAACATTCTGCTTTTAATGGAATGTAGTAACTTGGTTGTAGGTTGTCCAGTAGGTGTGATACCATGGGAGATACTGCTGTAGGGGTATGATGATTCTATTGGCCAGATAGAAATGTTATTTCTATTGAAGATGCACCGGTTAACTGATTTTGTCTATTCTTGTTCGTACTTGTGCTATTGTAGATGTATGTAATGTGCTGATGAAGGATTTCGAGCTGCAACGTAAACTTGTTGTGTGTGATATTGTGGAGATGACTCATTCTACTTTTCATCTGGTCTAATATTTGTTCATGATGTGATGTGCTAGGTTTCACATATTCTAAGTCAACAACATGGATTCTCATGCTGAAGTGGTCAAGCCATTTGCTTCACACTCTGAAGGTCATGGTTAATTTCACGGCATGCATTGTTCAATTCATGAGTACATGTTTATTTTTTTCTGAAGGTCCTTGGGGATTGTTGCTGGAGCTACAGAGTCCCTGCTTTGTGCGCCACTCTCATCAGGTGGCTATCCATTATATGGAGAGACATCAGACATTAAGGGATAATCCAGTGCAGTGAGATCAGTCCCCACAGTTCCGGGTACATTGCCTTTTCCCCACTTGTCTATAGTGACCTTTTTATGAGACACATAGTTAATGCTATTGGCTGTTTTTGTACCTGCACAAGATATTGATACATTTATGGAGTTTCCCTTCAGACCAAATGGTTTTATTAAAGCCAAGCTGATGTCAAATTTTTCTGTAAACCTCAGTGATAGAGGTCATGGGGTCACAGCTTGAATACGTGTGTTTTCAAGGCCCTAAAGAATATTTCATTAAATGCTTCACCCTGTTTTTTTTTTTTTTTTTTATTTCTCTGCTCATATATGTTTACATATTTCTAAATTACAAACAAAAATTTATCAATGTAGATAAATATACTGCTTACAAACTGACTAGTGACCTGTGTAAAACTATGTTTCTTGAATTCTGAAATAGGTCATGACCTATAATTTTTATTGTTCCTTGGGTGAGAGGGTTAGCTTCAACTGGGTGAAGAGAAGTTGAGGCTGTGTGGTTTGGAGTAACAGAATATCTATAGTGGATGTTGAGTCGATGGAAGACAAAACCACTCCATAATCATAGTGCTAAAATGTTATGCGACCAGAAGATACAGCTGTTTCAGCAGCAATGCCACCATTTCTGTTTTCAGGACACATGGCAAAAGAAGGAAAGGGACATTTTAAAGTAATCTTGAGAAATAAAACGTCAATCACACTGCCCTCTTCCACATTTGCTTTATTGTTTTCATTTTGAAATACACTTGTAGGTTTTTTCAGAGGGCCACTTGCTGCTAGCCCTGTTCTCGTACGTAAGAGCTAATGAGAAGAAGAGTACACCAAGGGAGTGGAGCCTGGCCCAGTTTGAGGAGCTTCAGCTCCAAGCCATGTCATCTCTATGTACATTATGTCCCCTGATGCTTGAAGACTACATGACCTGCCAGGGGTCGACACGTCTGCTGCTGTTACTGGAATGGTGTGTGGGATCAGGTAAGTGTTTTGTTTGGGGGGGGGGGGGGGGGGGGGGGGGGGGGGGGGGGGGGTTCTGGGTGTGAGAGGTAAATTTATCAAATCTACCATAAGGCAGATTCAGACTCAAGCCCTTAGAGCTGGCCATTGCACAATCACAACTCCTTTGTAGTTTTAGAGATTCACATTTTCTCATTATCATCATTTTACGTATTCACATTTTTACTGAACAGGCCACATAAATATGTAAACATTTATTAGTATTACACTTGTGAAAATCTGACACCTGGGATTTTTTCCCCCAGAGGATTACAGTGGTCAAGGCAATAGTTTCCATGGTAAAGGTGGTAGAGGAAGTAAGAGAGCTCAGATGCACTACTGCCTACGATTATTGAGAAGTCTGATGTCCACGGGGGATGAACAGGTTCTTCAGGATCTTGCTGATCAAGGAGCAATAAACCAACTCATTGGTAAGTGTTTTAGTTTGATGGCTTCCCCTGTTTGAATGAATGAATCAAGAATTGACATCACTGCATTTGGGACATTCCCATACTTGCTCCGTGCCCTTCTTCAGCAACCACTGAAGAGGCGACATACTAATAGTACCGGTTGCAACCTGATTAAAAGTCCACCTCTGTTTACTTTTCAATGTTGAGAATCTGCCAAAACCTATACCCCCCACCCCCACCCCCCACACCGCCCCCTCCCCCTTGAATTAAGCTGAATTAATCTTTCAGTGTATGGATTCTGTATCCGTTCTTTTGCACTGTCCATTTGATCCCATAGAGCCTTCACCACGTCCGCTTTATTATATAGTAGCTCACCACCCAGAGGAGCGGCAGCATCTAATCTATCAGCCTGCTCATTACCTTGCACATCTGAATATCCTCCCCAGAAAATACATGATGTGCTTTTGATCCCCCTGGCTGTTGATCAGAAATATAATCTGACAACAACAGAGAATGAATCTCTTATTTTCATATACCCTGCCCGTGTGTTACCATCTCCCTCAAAGGAAGCAAAGATGTTTCGTTGTAGCATGACATGGATGTTATAAGAGACAAATAAGGAAGGCTGGCATAAGACATTACCTAATCCCATAGAAAACTTAAATCAAACAGATGAGTTTCATGAGTTATTGGGTGCTAATCTTTCAGACTGCAGTCTTGGAGGGGAAAATTGTTTACATACGCCCTGCTAGTCATGAACAATTCTATAAAGGGCTAAGCATGTGCTGGTTGAGGACCAGTCCTCCATTGGGAGAGGAACAGCAGAAGATGCGGTGTTTATGTGTTTTTTTCCTATGTGTATGTCACGTTTCTTGTTGTCTCAGCACTCTTCTTTATGGCAATGAAACTTCAACTTATTCCGATCATGAAAAATGGCTTGATAGATTTCACATGCAGTGCCGAAGAACACTTGGCACTGAGTGGCAAGACAAGATCACTACCACTGAGGTATTGGAAAGAGCAGGCATCACAACAGTGTTCTTAATGCTCAGTTTCTGAAGGCTCAGGTGGCTTGGTCACACTTGGAGAGCGGAGGATGGTAAAATCCTTAAGGACATCCTCAACAGGGAATTACAAATGGTAGAAGATGTTGAGGCCGACCTCTGCTACAGTATAAATGTATGTGCTAGTGGGACATTAATGATACAGGTGTTGAGGTAGATTTGTAGATTCATAATTTACATGCATTTTTGCGTACTATTTTATTTTTTATTTAATCAAGACATTATTTCATCTACTTCTTAAGCCTATTGTTCAAAATGTAAGTAGACATCCCAGTACTTAGATTTTTTTCTTTTTTTTCCCTGCACCATTTCAGTGTAAATATTTGTGTTTTGAATTTTCTCTTTGAATTTAATATACTAATGTTTTGATCTTCTGTTTCTGTTGTGGTTTTTTTTTGGGATGTTAATTTCTTGAAGTGTTTGATTAGACAGATGAGTGAACAGTTGTTATTTTAAATACTTTATGTATGTCGTGACTAATGGCATTATCATCATCATCTTGTTGGAAATATTTGCAAAATTTTTTTTATTCTGCATGAAGATACGCTGGTTCTCTTTTGTTGTCATAATGAAATCGTGACTAAATGTTAATCATGCATTATCATCATCATCTTGTTGAAAATATATTTCAGAACGTTCTTTTTTGTTATCATCTCAGTCTGCATGAGAGACTTTGAGTCCAGTGCTAGTTCTCCTGCCTCATCTTTAACTTCAAAGTGAAGGTTAACCCTTTCACCCCGTAAAAATCCTAAAAACTGACCTTTTTAGAATTTCATTCGAAAGGTATATCTTTTGTAATTCTCTGAAACTTTTCCCACTGAAACTTGAAGAAGAAAAGAAGAAGCAGAAGGAATTTGGAGTCTGGGTCAATTTTTGTAAATATCCAGAGGATCTAATGCCTAGATAAGCCATTGTATTATACAGAGATACCTCAGTATACGTTCACTTTGGTATAAGTTGAACTTGGTATACTTCCTTTTCACAAAATCTTATGCTTGTTATATGAACTTTGTTTGGAAAAGCGATCCAAATGCTAGAATTTATTTGAGTAAAAATTATTCATGAAACCATTCAGTAACTTTGTTTAACTCTCTCAAGACAAAGCCATGGATAGTTGTCAATGACTTTGCGGAGAAGTATCACCCCAGTAAATCTAAAATACACCATAATAGCATTGTCTGAAATGTCCAAACAGTGTCACATTTCCAAAACATCCCAAAGAGAAGGCGGAGTGAATGTTCTTTGGGCAGATGTTAAGTAAAAGTCAAATCGGTTCTGTCTCAACCAGGTCCAAGTAGCAAAAAAGGAGACAGGAAAAAACGGAGAGAGAAAACACCAGAATTTCAGATTCCTGAAGTTTTATTGGAAGGGGACTCTCCATCCAAACAATAAAATCCTGTCCTCCTTAATTCTCAGTTACATTCTATTAGGTAGTCGACTCATCTCAGGAAGGTGAAGTTAGGTTACATTTTCATTTATGTCATTTAGTATTAGGCAGTAATATAAATTATTATGTACAACTCCATCAGTGTAGAGTGTGCTAGTGTGCTAGGATTTGTATTCAAGGGAACAGATTAATCATTCTCCCTTTATTTCTTATGGAAAAGTTTGTTTGGTATAGATCCTGTTTGCTATGTGTCCAAGGATCAGGAAAAAATTAAGTATGTAAAATGAGGTAACATTGTATTTTGTAATAGTCGGTTTTCACATCTGAATCATTATACTTTCTACAGAATTGAAACTGATGTTGGATTACATTTTGCCTGCAGAATGTATGTAGTCACCTCATGCTATGAGCTTGTAATGTAATGTATGTGAAATTATTCCTATTTTACACCCCAAAGGAAATTCTTTGAGATTACCTTGACTTTTTGTGTGTGTACAGGGGTCTTGAATACCTCCTTCACTCAAGAGTTACATACAGGTGATGATGTGGATATCGAGATGCAGACAGACATATTGTATATTCTATCTAATCTGTGCGATGAAGATTTACATCGAAAGGTACTCACTGCTTTTGTCTGGTTTGTATTTGTTTCTTTCATGAGCTGCTCACTTTATGGATACAGTGGTGATTCTTTCATCATTGTTTAGAGTCACCAAGTGACTAGGCAACAGGTGTGGATGATCGTACTGCTCGACATCTCACAGTCTGGGAGAAAATTTATCAGTCCTTATGCTGATAATTGTTCATGTCATGAATTAGTGAGTTATTTAAATTTAAAAAAATGATGGTTTATCGCCCTCTTTAAAAGCTCACAAGTTTTCTCATCCGGGGCGGGATGTTATTAGCATCTATCTTTTCCTCTCCTTCCTTGCTAAAACAGTCTCTTTCTACTTGATCCCAGATAACCTTTACCATATCTGCTTTTTATAAAGAAACCTGTGCCTGTTCTAACTGTAGCATTCAGAGTAATCATTTCTCCACATATGAGTCTTCTAAAGTGACGAAAGCCACTCCATGTACAACTTATTAGTTACTTTTTTGTTTAAATACTTTGATTACAAAGACATGTCTGGTTGTAATATTTTCTAATAGAATTAATTAAAGTCACCTAAATATAGAAATATAGAAATGGCCACCTGGAGAGGAGTGGGCCCCGCCAGGGTTGAAATACTGCCCAAGACGCGCTATGCTGTTTATAAATGCAGTGTTTCAGAAACATGCTTAGCATATCGTACATAGAACACATTACAAACGAAGAGGTTAGCCATTTAATTATAAAGCACATTAGCAACTATAACCCTCTTTTAACTACAGTAAAATGGTGAAAAATGCACTGGTACAGACATGTAATAAGATCTAACAGCCTCTCAAAAACAATACTGTAGGGCTCAGTAGAGGGAAAGAGGAGAAGAGGCAGACCAAGAAAGACCTGGTTACAGAACCTGACTGACTGGACAGGCCTCATGCATGCAACCATGAAGCCCATCGCAAGTGACCGCCAAAGGTGGAGAGAGCTGATCAGATAGTAAACAGAAACTGATGGCTAAACAACAATTAGTGTTACAGAATGATGATGGTGATGGTGATGATGGTGAAGATGATGATGATAGCGGTGATGATGAACTAGAATAAAGATAAGAGTAAATCAATCTTGCCATAATACAGAAACCTGCCTAGAACAGAGACAAGTTAGACAAAATTAAAACAACCTTGTAAGAATTTTTTTTAATGACACACATGTTTTAGTCGGCATCTGTGGCTTGGGCATTGCCAACATGCTTCAAAATTCTGAGGTGCCTGGTTTGATCCAAACTGTAGGCAATTTGGCAACAAACTGCTGCCTTGCGTTGGTTTCAACAGTGGTATTAAGAGACCACCATTCAGAAGCAATGGCAAATAACTACTGAACATAAAATTGCCTAGTGAAATTACAAACAGCTAAAAAAAAAAATGTTGGGGGTTGGTTGTGCAGCTTCCTATGCAGGATAAGCAACTAACTTTAACAACAATTTTAAAAACCTTGCTAGAATAATGATAAATGTATTAGAATAAAGAGAACTGCCTAGATAAATTAGAGAACAGTAAAGAAAAGCTATGAGAATGAAGAAAGTTGTTATCTTACAGGAATTGTTCAGCGTCTCTGGTGTTGACATGGTGGTTCGGTATCTACGTATAGACACTCGACTGCTGAAGAGTGGTCTGGGCCACCACAAGTTATTATTGGCAGCTGTTGACTGTACTTGGTGAGTTTTTGTTTGAATAATATTTTTTTAGGCTACTGCTAGAACTGTTTTATGTAAGTATACCATAGTTTGAAAAGAAAAAAAATATTATGAAGTAGTAGCAGAAAACAAAATAATAATATTATGATGCAGCAGGGACAGTAGCAGATGAAGAGAGGTAATAAAAAGCAGCGTACAAAACACCATGAAGAGATGTAATAGTGATAGATGGAAATGAAGAGAGGTATAGAAAAGCGTATATGAAAACAAGAAGAGAGTAATAGAAGAGCGTATATGAAAACACCATGAAGAGAGGTAATGGAAGCAGCGTATATGAAAACACCATGAAGAGAGATAATAGAATAGAAGCAGCGTATATGGTAAAAAGCTTGAAAACACCATGAAAAGATGTAATAGAAGCAGCGTATATGAAAACACCATGAAGAGAGGTAATAGAAGCAGCGTATATGAAAACACCATGAAGAGAGGTAATAGAAGCAGCGAAAACATATGAAAACAGCCATGAAGAGAGGTAATAGAAGCAGCTTATGAAAACACCATGAAGAGAGGTAATAGAAGCAGCGTATATGAAAACACCATGAAGAGAGGTAATAGAAGCAGCTTGAAAACACCATATATGAAAGCAGCGGTATATGAAAACACCATGAAGAGAGGTAATAGAAGCAGCGTATATGAAAACACCATGAAGAGAGGTAATAGAAGCAGCGTATATGAAAACACCATGAAGAGAGGTAATAGAAGCAGCGTATATGAAAACACCATGAAGAGAGGTAATAGAAGCAGCGTATATGAAAACACCATGAAGAGAGGTAATAGAAGCAGCGTATATGAAAACACCATGAAGAGAGGTAATAGAAGCAGCGTATATGAAAACACCATGAAGAGAGGTAATAGAAGCAGCGTATATGAAAACACCATGAAGAGAGGTAATAGAAGCAGCGTATATGAAAACACCATGAAGAGAGGTAATAGAAGCAGCGTATATGAAAACACCATGAAGAGAGGTAATAGAAGCAGCTTGAAAACACCATGAAGAGAGGTAATGGAAGCAGCGTATATGAAAACACCATGAAGAGAGGTAATGAAAACAGCATGATATGAAAGCGTATACACCATGAAGAGAGGTAATGGAAGCAGCGTATATGAAAACACCATGAAGAGAGGTAATAGAAGCAGCGTATATGAAAACACCATGAAGAGAGGTAATAGAAGCAGCGTATATGAAAACACCATGAAGAGAGGTAATAGAAGCAGCGTATATGAAAACACCATGAAGAGAGGTAATAGAAGCAGCGTATATGAAAACATCATGAAGAGAGGTAATAGAAGCAGCGTATATGAAAACACCATGAAGAGAGGTAATAGAAGCAGCGTATATGAAAACATCATGAAGAGAGGTAATAGAAGCAGCATATATGAAAACATCATGAAGAGAGGTAATAGAAGCAGCGTATATGAAAACACCATGAAGAGAGGTAATAGAAGCAGCGTATATGAAAACACCATGAAGAGAGATAATAGAAGCAGCGTATATGAAAACACCATGAAGAGAGGTAATAGAAGCAGCGTATATGAAAACACCATGAAGAGAGGTAATAGAAGCAGCGTATATGAAAACATCATGAAGAGAGGTAATAGAAGCAGCGTATATGAAAACATCATGAAGAGAGGTAATAGAAGCAGCGTATATGAAAACATCATGAAGAGAGGTAATAGAAGCAGCGTATATGAAAACACCATGAAGAGAGGTAATAGAAGCAGCGTATATGAAAACATCATGAAGAGAGGTAATAGAAGCAGCGTATATGAAAACACCATGAAGAGAGGTAATAGAAGCAGGGTATATGAAAACACCATGAAGAGAGGTAATAGAAGCAGCGTATATGAAAACATCATGAAAAGAGGTAATAGAAGCAGCGTATATGAAAACACCATGAAGAGAGGTAATAGAAGCAGCGTATATGAAAACACCATGAAGAGAGGTAATAGAAGCAGCGTATATGAAAACACCATGAAGAGAGGTAATAGAAGCAGCGTATATGAAAACATCATGAAGAGAGGTAATAGAAGCAGCGTATATGAAAACACCATGAAGAGAGGTAATAGAAGCAGCGTATATGAAAACTCCATGAAGAGAGGTAATGGAAGCAGCGTATATGAAAACATCATGAAGAGAGGTAATGGAAGCAGCGTATATGAAAACATCATGAAGAGAGGTAATGGAAGCAGCGTATATGAAAACTCCATGAAGAGACGTAATGGAAGCATCTTGAAAACTCCATGAAGACAATGACAAATAATGCTGGAAGTTTATTACAACTGACCTTCAGTTCAGAGATTACACTTGATTGATTGAATGATTGATTGCTTTATTGATTTGTACAGGTGCACACCAGAGACTGTGTGAAAGTCACTGGTGTGTAAAGAGTAAATGAAGCCAGGGGTTGTAAATCATGATTACACACTGGCATCTTGTTGTGTTGGTAGATTGTGAGTGTAAATATTTGAGCCACTTGAAGTTGTGAAACAGCGGTTGCTTGATATTCACAAATGACTTTAAGCACCCCGGATTGTGTGGGGGAATGCGAGATCAAAGTGTAACTGACCGCCGTTTTTGGAAGTTCGTGGTAGTTTAAGCCAGCCACTTTCAGTCAGTCTAGTGTATGAAGGTGTGCATGAATTATTCAAGTCTTATGGATGCAGGTACTTGGTGGGTGGCAATTTGAACAATTTGTTTTATTGTGTTGGAGCTTGAGTGAACTGTCCAGTGAATGTGATGCATCATCACTTGTACTTCAGAATGCTGTCAGAGTGATTTGCTAGAATGGGCTTGTATCGCCCCATGTGTGGGGTCAGCAAAGTTGTGGCTATGTGGCACTCTGGTTGACGGGTTGACTTCAAGTGCTGCAGAAGGTGCTTGGTGTGTGGACCAACATGGAGTTGTGATGGGGAGGTATCGGGAATGCTGGTTAACTGAAGGTTGATCAGTGATACTTCAATGAGTGACTGGTAGCAGACTAGACGTCTGGATTCATTTCACCAAGTGGTGCATCTACCTTGAGCCCTCTGGTGGCAGGGTTTCCTAGAAGGATAACCATTAGAGGATTGTCACATCGGTGTATCTGTGCGATCAAGAGGTCGTCCTTAGCAGAACCTTTGTATAGTTCGCAGGGTTCTCGTCCATGTCTGGAGAGACTGCCGATGTGATGTATTGGCAGGTAGTAGAAGACAGGGATTCATAGATCACTAATTCATTGTCTTCATAATGCGTTCATCCATAATAAAGAGACTGATCACACTATATGATTATATTTTATAGTGGTGTAATGTATTACAGCGGTCTTAGATAGTTTTGGTGGTTACGAGAGGACATGTAATCTGTGCCAGATATATTGTGGTTGTTAACTTGTTTCTTGTGCCTGGCATGTTGTGGTGCTCCCTGTTTGGGTTGGCCCCCTTTACTCCAGTATTAATTATCATCAGCATGTACCATGCCAATGAGAGCGGACAGCCATGGTTTGTCATTTGAGGGAACCCCTTGTGTGCATGTGTGGAGGACTGACATTTTATCAGCATAGTCCCTAGATACTTGGCAAATGTGTGAGGCTTCTCTCGCTTGCATGCATCAGTTATTTATCTGGAGGATTTCAGTCTACTCTGATTGTTATAATGTCATCTTACCATTATCTTATCATGGGAGCCACAGTGGCTAAGTAGCTAGACTCTAACCTGCCAGCCAAAAGGACTTGGATGTAAATCCACTTCCTCCCTGTGTGGGTTCGGGGACTCCATTGTGGATAACAAAGAAGCGATCCACTACCCACTAACAAGCATGTCATAGGAGGCGATTAATTTTGGGATTTCCTTCAAAGTCGGAGGGCATCTGCTTGAGAGGCAAGGACCCAACTGTCTGCATACAAATAAGCCAGATATGTAAAACGGATGTCCACATAAATGTGTAAGAGTGGACGAACAACTATAATTTCCACCAGAGCTTACAGCCAGTAATTGGGAAGAAGAAGAAGAAATATGCATCCTAGATTGGGTTGTTGGAATCTTCATTTTCAGGTGTTGCATTGTTAGGTCCTCTATTTTTATAAATAAACAGAATGGAAATCTTTGAGGTATCAGAAATACTCTAAACGATAAACAAACGAACAAATATGTATTTGGTTAGCACTCATAGAAAGAAGTAGAAATATAGGACACACTAGACAACATACAAATCAATGCAACTTTTCATTTTAACCCTACCAGACCTGAAGCCCTGAACCTAACTGTCCCTATAACCTGAGCTCCTGGGCACTAACACGCAAAAACCAACATGATGTACAAAAAAATTAGTTACATGCAAACAAGTGGTTAGAATAAGATAAAATTTGGAGACATTGTAGAAAATAGGTTTACCTTTCATCTAGCACCAATCTTCAACCTTTGTGTGCCAATCCACCTAGTAGGATCAGTCTTGTTTCACAAAGTAAGCACCAGATGTCGCTGTTGGAGGGATACGCCCCCTTCTCTTACTATCGATCTAGTTTTAAATCTAAAATTTTCATAATTCTCCTCCTCACTCTAGCTCTCACTGACTGTGTCACTTCAACTGGGAACGTATTCTTCATGAACGTATTCACAGTCTGAATTAACCAAAAATCAATCACCTGTTTGACTGTGAAAAGCCTAGACCTACGTCACTTTCTTGTCGAAGCCGCTCGTTTCATTGAGAATTTTCCGAATTTTTTTCACATCAAACCACACAAAGAAATCTCAATACACGTGGGAAGTCATTCGCAATGACTAACAATGAAGTCTGATGGCGATTGGCTGGTTATTTTTAGTCTGTGATGCATATTTTTCACGTACTACGTAAATTCCCGGAAAATAGGGCCAGCTGTATAGCGGCAGGTTAGGAAATTCCCGGAAAATTGGGCCAGCGGTCTGGTAGGGTTAATGTTGACTAGTTTGTCATTTTGTCTGTCTACTTCTTTCTATGAGTGCTGATCAATACATGTTTGTTCCTTTGTTTTCAGGTGTTGCATTGTTGGTTGCTTCATCACAGAGGATTACTTCCTAGAGAAAGAAGGTGTTTTCTTGCTGTTTGATCAGCTAGAGGTAAATCTGTCACTCAGTGGTTATGCCACATCTCAGTCTATGTTGAGGTTTATGTGGGGAAGTGCATGTTGAAAAGAGAGTAGCATAAGCAGATTGTTAAAATAAAGAGGATGTGAACAACAACAGATGTTACTGAAGTAGATTGTTAAAATAAAGAAGGCATGAACAACAGCTATTAGTGCAGATTGTTAAAATAAAGAAGACATAAACAATAGTGTTAAAATAAAGAAGACATGAACAACAACAGCTGTTACTGCAGATTGTTAAAATAAAGAAGACATGAACAACAATAGCTGTTACTGCTCTTGCTGATACTACTCCTGCTGTTCTTGCTCTGCTTCTGTTGCTTGTGCTGCTTCTGCTATCACTACTGCTCGTTCTGCTCCTCCTACTGCTGCTTCAGTTCTTATTTAGTCTAAAGTTCGTATGAAAATTTTGAATGAATACTTAACTCTGGATACTCAGTAGGGATAGTTAAAGAAGATATATTGAGCATTTCTTGAAGAGAAGCAAACGAGAATTATCAAGCAGGCACAGAAATCTGACACAAATGGTTTGAGGAGACGAGAACATCTGAAAGAAACTCTGAGACAGAGGTTGATGGGAGAGGCCAAAAGTTCCCGGCTGGATTCCCTTTGTGATGTTAAAACATCTGCACAGGAAAGAAACAAAGTGGAGTCATAAACCCTGCAGGATGTTAATGATAAATAAGGTTAGTTTTGTTGTCTTGACACTGTCTCATCTGGGAAACAGATAGAAGATGTGGGGTGAACAGCATGCAATGGCAAAGAATAGGATGAGCTGGCGATGGATGGTTCTTTGCTCCGTAAGGGATACAAAGTTAGTTGCATGTCCTTTACATCGTTTTTGTTTACTGCTGCAGATTTGCGTTGACTAGTTTGCCATTGCCTTATGAATGGTCGGCTTTAGATACCACTGTCAAAACCAGCACAAAGCAGTCTGCTGCCAGATAACCTGCAGCTGAGAATGAACCCGGCTCCCCCCCCCCCCTCTTCCCCCCCCCCCCCCCCCCCCCAAATCGCATTATGAAGCCTTATTACAATACCTAAACCACAGACGTCTACATGTGAGATAAAAAGAAAAAACAAATGACATGTAACACAGATCAGACCAAATCAGACACATTTTTCTTAGCTGTGATAAATGTCTCTACTTAACGATCATTAAATTGTAACATTGGTTTAGAGAAAGTTGGTTTGTCTCTATTGGCAGTATTACTTTCTCACTGACAAAAAAAATTAGTGTCCTAAAACATGTTTATAAAGTTTTATAAAATTTACATATTTTTAATTTTTTCAGTTTTAACATATACCAGTGAAAATGAGGAATCACTAAAGACATAGAAAGAAAGTTAAATACAAATGCCTGAGGAAATTTTTGAGCATTAAATGGGATGAGTTTAAGAAAGGCATGAAATAAGAGAAATGTCTGGACAACCACTTGTATCAAAGCTGTAAGAAATAGAAGATGACAGTGACTAGAACATCATGAGGAGAAACAGACAGAGATTAACTAGATAGGCACTGAAATAGGAAAACAAATGAATTGAGGAAAGAAGGACATCTATGAGAAATCCTAAGATAAACATTGTTGAGATGGGCCACAGATGCAAGACTGGATTCATTCCATGATACCAATAGGATTGTACAGAATAGAAGGAAATGGAAGACTAGACTACACAACCTGTGTGACATACAGTGGCACAGGATGGTGATGATGACATCTATTTCTTTATAGTAAAAAACAAATTAGGTGTATTACAATAGGCATTTGCTGATATTACAATAGACAATGCTGATATCAAAATAGACAATGCTGTCACAATAGGCAATGCTGATATTACAATAGGCAATGCTGATATTACAATAGACAATGCTGATGTCACAATAGGCAATGCTGATATTACAATAGGCAATGCTGATATTACAATAGGCAATGCTGATATTACAATAGGCAATGCTGATATCACAATAGGCAATGCTGATATTACAATAGACAATGCTGATATTACAATAGGCAATGCTGATATCACAATAGGCAGTGCTGATATTACAATAGGCAATGCTGATATTACAATAGGCAATGCTGATATTACAACAGGCAATGCTGATATTAATATTTGTTTTTGTTGAAAAAAAATATATAATAGGTGTGCCCTAAGAGCATGCACAGTAGCATTCTGGGATGTCTGCTGGATTTGTGTGAGAACCCAAAAACTGTGAACCACATTCTAACCTGGCGTGGTAAAGATGGTTGCACAGCTGCCCATATGTTGTGTGAGTTGTGGCGCCAGGAGGAAGTAGAGATTGGGGCCAAGAGGAACAGTCAAGGAGTCATTCTTGGTTAGTGAGACAGTCTCTTTCTTATTGATTGTGGTAAAAGTGTTTGTTTTTCCTAATTCCTAATGAAAATATAATTTATTTTCATAAGGCCAAATATTGCAACAAGAACAAGTCAGCGTTGTAATTTAACAGTCTGAATTGTTCATGAGTAGACTATACACTGTTTGGTGGGTGATGTAGTAAATATTACAAAAGTAATTTTTACCTATTAGAGCATTTCCTGGTACCCATTTTCACCATGGAAGCCCAGCAGTTTTTTTAAATTAAATTTTCACTCTGCAGTTGATTTGAACACGTAACCGCCAGACAGGTATACCAGCCTTTGTGCTACCATGGCCACCATATTCATCTGGTATATGCATGTGTGTGTTTAATCTTGTTTCATGAAAACATCAGCATAGTATTCTGTTTTAAGGTTGTGAAGTGCAGAAAAGTATGATCACCCATGCCAATTGACACAGCATTATAATACATGTGTGTGTGTGTGTGTGTGTATGTGTGTGTGTGTGTGTGTGTGGATGGGTGTGCATGTGTGCCTGCATGTGTGTCATCATCATCGTCATGTTGTGCCATTATACATCACATATAACCAGATTATGACAGTACCATCAGTTTTGAAACTTTGCGCTGACTGCTGAATATGGGGACAGAGCACACATAGAAATGTCCCGATTGCTGTGATCTCAGATCTCGACTCAACTCAACATCACTAAGAGTTCGCAGTGCCCCCCACACTCCCCATTATGTTTTATTTGTGTCTGCTGACTGATATGTGTGTGTTGTCATTGTTGTTGTTGTTGTTTGTTGTCATTCAATCATGTGGTTAAATGTTACAGATATCAGCCATCCCCTGATGGGAAGTTATCAGGCTGGGGTGGGGATAGTTCCTCAGCCGGCGTCCTACATAAGCCAGGCTATTGCGGATGTTGGAGAAAATAACAGAGCCAAAATTTACTCGCTGTTCTCTAAGATAGGGTTCACTGACCTGCCTGGCCTTACGGTGACAGACCATGTCTCACTGGCCATCATAGGTAGGAGAATCTCTTATGTTGGAAGTTAGTTAGTAAAAAGAATATGTTATTTTGGAAATTAGTAAATAAAAAAAATCTGTTATGTTGGAAGTAAAGATAATATCTTATATTTTAAGGTATAAATAAAAAGAATATATTATGTTTGAAGTTAGTAAATAAAGAGAATTTCTTAGGTTGGAAGTAAGTAAAGAAGATCTTTTATGTTGGAAGATAGTAAGTAAAGAGAATCTCTTATGTTGGAAGATAGTAAGTGAAGAAAATCTTTTATGTTGGACATTTAGTAAGTGAAGAGCATCTCTTATGCTAGAAGTTTAGTAAGTAAAGAGAATCTATTATGTTGGAAGTTTAGTAAGTAAAGAGAATCTCTTATGTTGGAAGTTTAGTAAGTAAAGAGAATCTCTTATGTTGGAAGTTTAGTAAGTAAAGAGAATCTCTTATGTTTAAAGATAGTAAGTAAATGATCCTTTTCATGCCAATGGGCATATGGTCAACCAACATTTCTGTAGACCTCCTGGCACTCCATGGATGATGTGTGAATACTACATTGGCTGCCTTTATTTTCCTGGATATTTGCTGGTAGCCATTTTAATTAGGTGGGCGCCAAAGTCTAGGTCAGTTATAAAAATCTGCCTTAGTGCAGATTTGAATTCAAGAGTGTAAGAGATATGTAAGAAGTAGGGCTATTTTTTTGTTCTTTGTGGTACACAACAGTATACAGCTCTCATGCTTTCTGCAATCATTTCTTCCTTCATTCTCACTCATTCCCTTAATGATTTGCCCCCTCCACAAAACACAGTCCATGGGATTTTGTTCCCACGAGTCCACCTCAGTACCTATATCATTTATGTCCCGTTTGCGCACATCTTTATATTGTATTAGAGCATGACCTCGACATTGACTACCCATCTGTAAATTACCATAGAGGATGTCCTTAGGGACTCGGCCATCTTCCATTCTCCAAGTGGTACCCAGCCACCTGAGTCTTCGTAGACTTGAGCACTGAGAAAACTGTTGTAATACTTGCTCTTTCCAGTACCTCAGTGTTTGTGATCTTTTCTTGCCAGCCAGTGCCAAATATACATTTATAGTCTACTTCATATTGACCATCCATATCTGATAGAGTTGAGAATCTGAGAAGAAACATGTTAGATACTTGTGATGGCAACAGTAATGCTGAAATCCCATGCTCTCATCTTTGAAGACAGTTCTCAACACAACCTGGTTTTGTTAGTAACACTCGCAATCACTGTAGGCTGTGATTGCCATGTTTTCCTGTAGCACTGTAGGCTGTGATTGCCATGTCTTCCTGTAGCACTGTAGGCTGTGATTGCCATGTCTTCCTGTAGCACTGTAGGCTGTGACTGCCATGTCTACCTGTAGCACTGTAGGCTGTGACTGCCATGTCTTCCTGTAGCACTGTAGGCTGTGATTGCCGTCTTCCTCTAGCACTGTAGGCTGTGATTGCCATGTCTTCCTCTAGCACTGTAGGCTGTGACTGCCATGTCTTCCTGTAGCACTGTAGGCTGTGACTGCAATGTCTTCCTGTAGCACTGTAGGCTGTGATTGCCATGTCTTCCTGTAGCACTGTAGGCTGTGACTGCCATGTCTTCCTGTAGCACTGTAGGCTGTGACTGCAATGTCTTCCTGTAGCACTGTAGGCTGTGATTGCCATGTCTTCCTGTAGCACTGTATAACAGTACTGTCCTGAAAGATGTTTCCCTGCGGGTTCCAGGCCCCCATTCTGGGGAAAACAAGAATAGTCCCACTGCCTCCCCAACAAGCATAGTCCCACTGCCTCCCCAACAAGCATAGAGCCACTGCCTCCCCAACAAGCATAGACCCACTGCCTCCCCAACAACCATAGACCCACTGCCTCCACAACAACCATAGACCCACTTAGGGCCTCCCCAACAAGCATAGACCCACTGCCTCCCCAACAAGCATAGACCCACTGCCTCCCCAACAAGCATAGACCCACTGCCTCCCCAAAAAGCATAGACCCACTGAGGGCCTCCCCAACAAGCATAGACCCACTGCCTCCCCAAAAAGCATAGACCCACTGCCTCCCCAACAAACATGGACCCCCTGCCTCCCCAACAAGCATAGACCCACTGCCTCCCCAACAAGCATAGACCCACTGCCTCCCCAACAAGCATAGACCCACTGAGGGCCTCCCCAACAAGCATAGACCCACTGCCTCCCCAACAAGCATAGACCCACTGCCTCCCCAACAAGCATAGACCCACTGCCTCCCCAACAAGCATAGACCCACTGCCTCCCCAACAAGAATAGACCCACTGCCTCCCCAACAAGCATAGACCCACTGCCTCCCCAACAAGCATAGACCCACTGCCTCCCCAACAAGCATAGACCCACTGCCTCCCCAACAAGAATAGACCCACTGCCTTCCCCAACAAGAATAGACCCACTGCCTTCCCTAACAAGAATAGACCCACTGAGGACCTCCCCAACAAGCATAGACCCACTGCCTCCCCAACAAGCATAGACCCACTGCCTTCCCAACAAACATGGACCCACTGCTTCCCCAACAAGCATAGACCCATAGCCTCCCCAACAAGCACAGACCCACTGAGAGCCTCCCCAACAAGCAAAGACCCACTGCCTCCCCAACAAGCATAGACCCACTGAGGGCCTCCCCAACAAGCATAGACCCACTGACTCCCCAACAAGCATAGACCCACTGTCTCCCCAACAAGCATAGACCCACTGAGGGCCTCCCCAACAAGCATAGACCCACTGCCTCCCCAACAAGCATAGACCCACTGCCTCCCCAACAAGCATAGACCCACTGCCTCCCCAACAAGCATAGACCCACTGCCTCCCCAACAAGCATAGACCCACTGACTCCCCAACAAGCATAGACCCACTGCTTCCCCAACAAGCATAGACCCACTGCCTCCCCAACAAGCATAGACCCACTGCCTCCCCAACAAGAATAGACCCACTGCCTTCCCCAACAAGAATAGACCCACTGAGGGCCTCCCCAACAAGCATAGACCCACTGCCTCCCCAACAAGCATAGACCCACTGCCTCAGCAACAAACAAGCATGTTGTAAGAGTCGACTAATTGGGGGCTTCCTTTGAAATCAGAGTGCATCTGCCTGAGAAGCAAGAAACCAAAAGTCTGCATACAAATAAGTCAAATCTGTGAAACGGATGTGCATGCAGCATTCAGGCTCTGGAACAAGACTAAAGTCCAGAGGTGGATGAACAACCCAGACTTTCTGCCAGAGTTTACAGCTGCTGAACACAAAGAAGACAAAACAACAAACAACAACAACAAATAATATTTCTGAAAATAATCATGAATTAGGCTCTCCTGCCAACAATGGCCGGTAGACAACAGTCGACGGCCAGTTAGTCAGAGTTCTGTCCCCTGGCTGCAGTGCAATTACGTTCTGGAGACGGCACGAATCAAAAAACACAGTGAGGTCGACATGCCTGGCAGACCCGCGATGCGACTCAAATTAGCGACCGGGTTCAATTACTGCATCTTGCGATGCAGTACGGAGTGGACTGAAGGGAACACAACAAGTGACATAATTACTGTGTGTCGACGATAGACAGCGTGCAGTGCCCTAGGGTTTGGGTTAGGGTTAGGGTTAGCGTTAGGGTTTGGGTTGCTACTTTGAGTTTGTGCGAAGACGAGATGCGGCGACACTAACCGTAACCAACCCACACCCTAACCCTAACCCTAACCCAAACCCTAACCCTACGTATGATTATCGCAGGGCAGTGCACGCTGTCTATTGCCATCACACAGTAATTGTGTCAGTTGTTTCGTTCCCTCTTTTCCAGTCCGTAATTGCACTGTAGCCAAGGGACAGAACTCCAACTAACCGGCCGTTGACTGTTGTCTACCGGCCGTAGTTGACAGGAGAGCCCATGAATTATTTATTAATTAACTCTTTGAGTCCCAAGGAACGCATTGAACAATTATAGATTCCTACCTAGAAACCCAGTGAACGCAAGATGCTTTGATTATATGTTTCTCTTTATTACCCCTGGGCCTGTGATGCTTAACCCTCTGGGACTCGAAGGGTTAATATTACTAAGTCCATTCTATATCAATACAGAAAAGTATCTTGACTTCAAGCTGGGAGAGGTGTGGTCAGAGATCATTGAGGAACTCAATGCAGAACAGGTAAAGCCCATAAGTGCTGACCTTGAAGCTATAGAAGCCATATCTAAGGCCATGCTAGAGAGAGCCCAGATTGTCAAGGCAACCCAGTTAGAATTGCTGGAATCAGAGAGTAACCAGGAGATGCTCAATGAGCAGGAGTTTTATGCTGAGGTTAGTAAGAGTTTGTTTAATCTTAGTTCCTCGTTGAACATTATTTTAACTCATAGAGAACCATAGGCCAGCATTTTCGGTAATCAGATTGATAGTCTTAAATATCTAAGCAAAGATGAGCTGACTGTCTTTGTATTTGGTAAAACATGAGTTGCTATCTTATATATCTAAGCAAATATGAGCTGATAAAACATGACTTTGCTGTCTTAAACATCTCAGCAAATATGAGCTGACTGTCTTTGTATTTGGTAAAACATGAGTTGCTGTCTTATATATCTAAGCAAAAATGAGCTGACTGTCTTTTGTATTTGGTAAAACCTGATGTTGCTGTCTTAAATATCTGAACAAAAAAGAGCTGACTGTTTTCTGTATTTGGTAAAACATGACTTTGCTGTCTTAAACATCTCAGCAAATATGAGCTGACTGTCTTCTGTATTTGGTAAAACATGACTTTGCCGTCTTAAACATCTCAGCAGATATGAGCAGACTGTCCTCTGTATTTGGTAAAATATGACTTTGCTGTCTTAAATATCTTAGCAAATATGAGCTGACTGTCCTGTGTATTTGGTAAAACATGACTTTGCTGTCTTAAACATCTTAGCAAATATGAGCTGACTGTCTTCTGTATTTGGTAAAACATGACTTTGCTGTCTTAAACATCTCAGCAAATATGAGCTGACTGTCCTGTGTATTTGGTAAAACATGACTTTGCTGTCTTAAACATCTTAGCAAATATGAGCTGACTGTCCTGTGTATTTGGTAAAACATGACTTTGCTGTCTTATATATCTAAGCAAATATGAGCTGACTGTCTTTTGTATTTGGTAAAACCTGATGTTGCTGTCTTAAATATCTGAGCAAAAATGAGCTGACTGTCTTCTGTATTTGGTAAAAAACATGACTTTGCTGTCTTAAACAACTGTCTTCTGTATTTGGTAAAACATGACTTTGCTGTCTTAAACATCTCAGCAAATATGAGCTGACTGTCCTGTATTTGGTAAAACATGACTTTGCTGTCTTAAACATCTCAGCAAATATGAGCTGACTGTCTTTGTATTTGGTAAAACATGACTTTGCTGTCTTAAACATCTCAGCAAAAATCAGCTGACTGTCTTCTGTATTTGGTAAAACATGACTTTGCTGTCTTAAACATCTCAGCAAATATGAGCTGACTGTCTTCTGTATTTAGTAAAACATGACTTTGCTGTCTTAAACATCTCAGCAAATAGGAGCTGACTGTCCTCTGTATTTGGTAAAACATGACTTTTCTGTCTTAAACATCTTAGCAAATATGAGCTGACTGTCCTGTGTATTTGGTAAAACATGACTTTGCTGTCTTAAACATCTTAGCAAATATGAGCTGACTGTCTTCTGTATTTGGTAAAACATGACTTTGCTGTCTTAAACATCTTAGCAAATTTTAGCTGACTGTCCTGTGTATTTGGTAAAACATGACTTTGCTGTCTTAAACATCTCAGCAAATATGAACTGACTGTCTTCTGTATTTGGTAAAACATGACTTTGCTGTCTTAAACATCTTAGCAAATATGAGCTGACTGTCCTCTGTATTTGGTAAAACATGACTTTGCTGTCTTAAACATCTTAGCAAATATGAGCTGACTGTCTTCTGTATTTGGTAAAACATGACTTTGCTGTCTTAAACATCTTAGCAAATATGAGCTGACTGTCCTCTGTATTTGGTAAAACATGACTTTGCTGTCTTAAACATCTTAGCAAATATGAGCTGACTGTCTTCTGTATTTGGTAAAACATGACTTTGCTGTCTTAAACATCTGAGCAAATATGAGCTTACTGTCCTGTGTATTTGGTAAAACATGACTTTGCTGTCTTAAACATCTTAGCAAATATGAGCTGACTGTCTTCTGTATTTGGTAAAACATGACTTTGCTGTCTTAAACATCTCAGCAAATATGAGCTGACTGTCTTCTGTATTGAGTAAAACATGACTCTTCTGTCTTAAACATCTCAGCAAATATGAGTATTCTGACAAGACGTGTGGTATTTGTAGAATTCTGACATGAGATTTTTGTGGAATTCTGGCCAGACAGTTGTGTGGTTTTTGTAGAATTCTGACCAGAAATGTGTGTATTTGTAGAATTCTGACAAAACAGTTGTGTGTGTTGGTGGAATTCTGATCAGAAATTTGTGTGGTATTTGTAGAATTCTGACCAGACAGAAAAGACTGAGAATAAAAAGACGGGAAAAAACTAAAGGCAAGTGAGCAAGAGGCAGGCAGCAGTAGAAGTGGGAAGATAATATCAGTAAATAGATGAATAGAGTCTGAGGAAATGTACAGCGAGGGTGAAAACCACTGCAGCCAGTTTTCACTGTGAAGATGGCACCTGATTGATTAATTTGTTGATTGGTTAATTCTACAGATCAGAGAAAATCACCGACAGAAAGAGAAGGCTATGGCTGATTTCACTGATTATGTAGCAAGAACTTCTAGTTTCGCTGTGCTCAAGGTAATTCACTGTTTTTAACACACACACACACACACACACAAAGAATGATTTGCATAAAAATTTGTATTTTCAAGCAGTTATTTTCTTTTGTCTGTCCCAAGTAGTTATTATTTTTTCTCGTTTATCCAAGCAGTTATCATTTTCTCTTGTCTATGCCCAATGAGGTTTTTACGCCTGTGTAAGCCACGCTTATTGTGCCAAACTCAGAAATTTATTGACCAATCAGCACTATGTTTGTGATGTGGTCATCATCATGTCAGCTGCCTTTATTTCCTAGGACATTTCCTGGTATCCATTTAAGGTTCAGTTAACCTGGGAGCCAGGGTTAGTTATAAAAATTACCTTGTGAACAGGCAGCCAAGAGTGGGATCTTAGGCGAGAGAGTGAGGTCGACGGACACTGCGCAACTCTTCCTTACTTTAATCCAAGTCACCACGTAAGTCACTCTTTCATCAAACTTTTCGGGCCCACATCGGCCTCATCAGTCATCTTCGTACTCATACTTGATGAAAAAGAGTGGTCATCCTCATCTTGATGGATAACACACAAAAATGGGATCATGAAAATCAACAAGCATGCAATCCTTAAAGAAGAGAGCGGCCAGTAGAGAGAATGTACATAAGAGAGAGTGTATGGGCAAAGAGAAGAATGCCTGGATGCTTGTCCCAGCCGGTAGTTAGGTAAGAGGTTTGTTTTCTGTGGGATTGCGGTCTGTAGGATAACCATTTCAAGGATGAGAATCACACAGGTATGAATCCCAGAAGCCCTATTTGACTGCATGGCAGTTATTTTGGGTCCCCCGGCAGTTACACAGTAACCTGAAGTCTAGACCAGGCTGACTGACTTTCTACCCCACTAGGAAATCACACAAGCGATAAACACCCGATGACACAAAGTGCCACCATGTGGATGAGGATCACCGTGGAGAGGTCCCATAAACCGCGTTCATACAATTGGCCATATTTATGGCCTGCCTATATTGCGGCCCCTGACAAAAGCCAGAGTGGGGCTTCAAATAACAAAAAATTACGTCCTAAACAGGACATAAGGAATAGTTCTTTAGACCAGGCAGAGAGTTACCCTACATAGTTATTACTTAAAGTTGACTGATCATGTCTATTGTTACTTCAACTTGCCAGTCTGAAGCGGTTATACATAGGGCCTAGTTTAATGTGCACAGCTTGAAGTAATGCAAAAATCACTCCAGGTTTACCAGACACCTAAATTACCTCCATTATTTCAGACTCAGTGATTCTGAATGAAGTAAAATATCATTCAAGAATAGTATGTTTCTTTTAATGAGAATTACTTCCCTTCCTATCCATCAGGCAGCAAAAGAAAGACAAGAGTTATCTATTGACATGTCTAGGATACATCCAAAGTATAGAGAAATGTAAGTAATTTTAAATGCATTATGTTTATCACAAGATTTTCTTCTTTGTTTAGCATTCTGAACCCTTGAGGTTCAGTGCTGCAGATAATACCTGCCTACCTGTATGTCTGTTCATTTTTATTTTTATTTTTCGCTCTCTCTCTCTCTCTCTCGTCTCTCCATCTCTCTCTCTCTCTCTCTCTCTCTCTCTCTCTCTCTCTCTCTCTCTCTCTCTCTCTCTCTCTCTCTCTCACACACACACACACACGCACACATGTAAATGAAGAACACAGCAAACAGCACCTGTGCACACAATGTTGGATAGTAGTTTTTAAACTACTTCCCCCCCCCCCTTTTTCCTGATGTGCTTAGGGGTAGATCAAGTCCTCATTTCAGCTCTTCCAGGCATATTGGGAATATGGATCTAGTCCCAGATTTGCCAAGACCAATCAGCACTCAATGGGTGTTGAAGTAAGGCTGGGTCGTCCTAGAAACAGTAATCAGTAAAGTAGTTGTATATCTTTTACAGCAGGGCTGTTCAAATAAGTTACCCACGGGTCAAAATGGGGATCGTCATGGACCAGAGGTCTAAGCTCCAGCATATTAATATCATTACTACAATACAACTGGTAATGATCCGTAGGCCACTTGCTAAGCCTCCCTAGGCCACTTGCTAAGCCTCCGTAGGCCACTTGCTAAGCCTCCCTAGGCCACTTGCTAAGCCTCCGCAGGCTACTTGCTAAGCCTCCGCGAGCCATACTTGGCCTGCAGGCTGCCAGTTGAGTTGTACTGCTTTAGAGGATGTTGCAAACATAGCCCAGCATTAGTTTTACCAGGTAATATGTTCAGCAGGTTGCTACTGCTTTTTGACTGACTGATGCTCATACCTTTGTCGACATCAACGCAGAGTGGTCTGCAACCAAATCTCCAGCAGCTGAGTCAAACCCAGGTATATTTCAGAATTATAAAGCTGGATTCATAGCCCCTAAGGCAGCAGGTATTGGTCCTCTCTCCTGTAATTAACCCCAAAAAAGAAACCATGTCACTAACAAATGTTTTTACTGTTTCTCTAGGGAGCAGTTCCATGCCACAGATTTGCCGAACCTGACTTCAACTGTGTTCAGTGGAAAACATATCATCATCATGGAATAACCTAATCAGATGAAGATGAACAACCTGGATATGAAAAAAAACAGGATGGGGGGATGTGTGGGGTTGACTGCTTGTTAGGATAGCCTCTGTCCACTAAACACCAACAACATGTGATTATTCTGCAGTAGTTTTTGAGCTCATCACTATCATAAATGATCTTTTTGTATATATCGGTCGTCATCGCGTTTTTGTTCCTTCCCTCTTTCTTTGACTTCTTCCTTTTTTATTCCTCTCTGTCCGCTTCCCTTTTCCCCCCTCATCACTGGTGGCTCCTAGCCAAAATTAGTATGGTTGTTGCTTCAGAATTTTTTTAAATTTTTATTTTGTTTGTAACTGTGTGGAAAAAAAACACAACATATAAATAGACAACATGTATATAGTCAACTTTTGATGAAATCCTACATTTAAAAAAAATATTTTTAGCATTCTTTTTTGTATGTGTGTGTGTGTGTTTTTTTTTTTTTTCTGGTTTAACACTGAACTCATTTTTCAGTCCCTTGGAACCTGTGTGAATGAGGTTTTACTGTATTTGAATACAAAGCTCAAGAAAAGCTTAATTTTATTGGAGCACAACATCCAATGTGGCAATGTAAAATAGCTGTACACTGTAAATACAGTAATTTAAACTCAGTAGTAGTCTTGCTCAGTGCTGCCAGATCAACATCTTCTGTGCACATTTTAAACTAAAACACAATAAATTGGCTGCTACAGATTGTGTCTGTTGCTTCTGATATTTGACACAGGTGGCTCTATGTTGAGAGGCCAATGAAGTTCATGGGAGTTCTTAGCAAACAGCCCATGGACATTGCTTGGTGCAACAGAGCTTGACATTTGACATCACAACATCTAGTTTGAGAATATAGGTGGAGATATACACTGCAGCCTTCTGCTGATTTGAGAATCAGCTGTAGACACATGCCGTAATTATAATTGACTCACAGGGCCATATTGAGAATGATGGAGATGCTCCTTGATACGTGGCAAGCATCACCTCAGAGGTCCCGGATAGTTGGCATCCATTGGGTATTTTCTCCAAGGTATGCTGTTGTACTGGGCAATCAACAGGAGGATAGACTGGCTGGTTCTGCACAGCTTGGTGGTGAAATGATGCATGACAAGCTACATGTTGTAATGGCCCTTTGGGAGTTGGTGAACAGTGCCGGGGCACTGATGGATCATCAAGGTCTGAGGAGAGTGGTGCTGCATGGAGTGACCAGGGGAAAGGTGAGGCGGATATGCAATACAGTCAGATTGTTACTGGTACCAACAGAATTGCAACTGTTTTTGCTGCTGAAGATGGGAACAGAGTGCTTATGGGAGTGTCCCGAGTGCTGTGATGTCGATTCTTAATTAAACATTCTGATATCTGTTAATTAGGGGTTTGTGAAACAGTATAAATGTATTCCAGTTTTTTCTCATCTATTGAAATTGCCAAAAACAAATATTGCCTTTTTTTCTTTCAAATGTCTGTGATAATTTTTTTTTTTTGGGGCGTGTTTCAAAATAATTGGATGACACACATTTGATTGTGGATGGAATTGTTTGCATGTTTCACTGAAGTCTTTGTGTTTTATGTTTAATATTAATAGCTATTACTCAAAGTTACAAATTGCTAAGTGTAAGAGGCAAGAGGTGACCTTGTTATTACTAGGAGGAGTGGCTAGAGATTGCCTGGGAGCCCAAAAATCTTGGGTTTGAATCTGCCTTGAGTCAGATTTTGTGAAAAAACTGACTTTGATTGCTAGGTCGGCCCAGCTTAAAATGGCTGCTAGGAAATGTCCTGGGTAGAACCAGCAACCTGTATGATGATTGCCTGTGACACCCCACAAGTGCTGATTGGTCTATACAAATATGGTTCTAGCCCTATATGCCCAAAGTTCACTGGCAGGAAAATTGTCCGTTCTTTATGTTTACACGTATCATGGCAGCCAATGCAGAAAGCATAGGCATAGTAATATTATAACTTATTGTGTAAATTGTTACTAGTAACAAAATAACTTGCTGTATAAATTGCTGCTGTAAGGAGGGTTAGTTCCGTTACTTTACTTTGTACACATCACTCAAGCCAGTGCAAACAGAAAAGGCATAGTAACATTATAACTTACCGTGTAAAGTAAGGAGAGTTGGTTCTGTTCTTTAGTTTGATATGATCACTGGAGCAAATGCTGAAAGCAAAGGCATAATAAGATTTTTACTTAATGTGTACATTCTTATTAAGGAGGGTTGATGTGACACTAACCACCTTATCCCAAAGACTACTTTAGCTGCATGATCCTACCATACAATAACAAGGCTGCAGAAGGTTTAGCATGAACTGGTTGAGGGCCTTTGTTCTATTGAAGATGTTATACAAAAGAAGATTAAGATAGATATCATCATCATCATGTAGCACTTTGCTCTCATCATGTTCTGCCTGAATGAAACTCGTCTCTCAACAGCTTTCCTGCCTCGTATACTTTCATACCCAAGGAGTCTCTTAAATTCTGTGCCAGTCTCTATGTTGGTTGGCCCTCTCCCTCCTTCCTGGTACCATGTGTTCTGCTATTATTTTTTTCCAAACCGCTGTGGTGCTGTGGGCCAAAATATTTCAGTTTCTGAGACAAAATGTTGTTTTTTGGCCAGACTTCCTTCATGTTTAAATCTTTTAGGATGTAATTATTTCTTTTTTTTTTCTTGGTCCATGGTATTCTGAAAATCTTTCTATAGCATTTCAGCATAAAAGCCCACATTTGTTTTCCTCAAGGGCTGGGGGATAGTCCACGACTCACACACGCCTGTTGTTACAGTGAAGAAGTATGCTCTCAACATTTTAACTTGGATTTCCTTGCTGCTGCTTAACCAACTACTTTTAATGCTGTTTAATCTTTGCATTGCAATGGCCATCCTCCTTTTGACTTCTGTTGAACAGTCTCCATTGCTGTTTGTTATGAAGCCCAGATATTCAAAGTTTGTGACATTTTCAGTTTTTCTATTTTTTTTTTTTTTGTTTGGGGGGGGGGGGGGTGACAGGTAGAAGATAGATAAACATCTTTATTTGTGAAACCAAAGTTGGTGACAAGTCTCAAGGGGACGAATGAAAATGGATCTCCCATCCCAATCCAAAAGGCAAGTGTACCTCAGACTGGAGGCTCAAAATTGTGCTGCTACTGTCTATCATGTTGGGCCTGAGACTGAAATTCTATCACATTCAATCATTTACACATACTATTACGGTGCATGTGATCACATAGCTGTGTTATGATTTTTAAATGAGTAATGCAGTGTAATATAAATATCATTACAAATGTTATAATAAACCTAATAGTTGTGATAATAAACCTCATGGCTGTGATAATAAACCTCATAGTTGTGATAATGTTGACTTTCTACATATATTTGTTTTTGAATTAATCAAATCTAGAATTGCCTGATATATGTCTATGCATAGGCTTTTTTTTTTTAATTACAATTATTTATAAAGTCTGCCAGACAGATGTTCTGTTTTTTTTCTCTCTTTTGATTGAGAATTTCTACAAATTCTTTGTGTTCACCGGCTGTAAACTCCAGCGGAAAGTTCTGGTTTTTCATCACTTTCTGGACTTTAGTCTTGTTCCAGAACTTGAGTTTTGCATGATTCTATTTTACAGATCTGGCTTATTTGTATGCAGATTGTTGGTTTTTCGCCTTTCAGGCAGATGCACTCCCTTCAGTTGTGAAGAAAACACTGCTGATCAGTCAGTTATTACATGCACTCCCTCCAGTTGTGAAGAAAACACTGCTGATCAGTCAGCTATGACATGCACTCCCTCCAGTTGTGAAGAAAACACTGCTGATCAGTCAGCTATGACATGCACTCCCTCCAGTTGTGAAGAAAACACTGCTGATCAGTCAGTTATTACATGCACTCCCTCCAGTTGTGAAGAAAACACTGCTGATCAGTCAGTTATTACAACGTGCCTGTTGGGGTTGGGCTGGCAGTGGGTATGTTCTTTTATCACCCTACAGTCTGCACCAGAACCCGAGCAGGAAAGGCTGGGAATGCAGTCCCTCACGAAATGTGATGGTGTCAGTGTGAGAAAATTTTATCTGTTCACTACAAAATCTAGATTGTTAATTTCACCAAACATGGCTAAATTGATTATTAATATTTGGTAATTAAGCTTAAATGCATACAAAGCTATCAATATTATAACAAGTAACAAATGAACAACATGCAAAAAGTACAGACTCACCCATGAAGTGCAGCTAATCCACAGCTGCGTATAAATGTATATCCACTTTTGGACACAATCACGTATACACAGTGTGTAAACTCTGATTACTGTAAGTTGGATAGCATCTAAAATGTTTAATACACTGCTCCATTAAAATATTTACAAACAAGTTTAAACTATACAGTAAAGGCAGAACACACAGAGGCTAAGTTGGTAAGCCGTTCAACTCATGGTTTGAAAGTTGTAAGTAGGCCTCAGGGAATTGTTGCCAGATCTATTGATGTTCAGCTTTGTGCATTGTTCTTGAGGAAAAACCAAGTGTAATGTAGTGGATACTTTTGACCTTAAACAGGTTTCAACTATTAACTCATAAAGTGCTTACTGAAAACATGTGATCTGGCAGACATTTTTGTATGTTAATTAGGTCACGTCAACTGATATCAGCATTTTTGTGTGTGTGTGTGTGATCCGCATGTCTTTGCCAGACATGGTCACTCACAACAAACCATAAAAGAAAATTAGTAACCATGGAAATGAGGTGTCTGACAAAGACTGTAGGAGTGACCAGAAGAGATAAAATCAGGAATGAGGTCAGACGAGATCATGTTGGCACAGAACCCGTTCTAAATTACATACAAAGACAGCAAATTAAATGGTTTGCCCCACTTGGAGAGATTACCTTCTAATGCTATACCATAAAAGGCTAATACCAAAAGAGGAGAGGGACGGCAAGAGGTAGACCAAGAACAAGATGAGAAGGTAACATCAGAGAAACTGTACAGCAACACGATGGAATTCCAGAGAAAT